GTGAACATCTGCTACACCCGAGGGTTTGCAGATGCGTTGAAAACCTTTTTGGAAATTGGGCTCCGGCTACCTCACTCACCAGACGAAACGCGAAAGTATTTGTCATACTTCCACTTTACGCCGGTCTTCTGTGAACTCGTGGTTCTTACCCGGACGAGCCTGCCCATTCGTGCAACAGCCGAGGCTGCTGCGTGGCCCTACCACCGTTTCCCAGCTACAGAACATTGTGATAGCATTGAGGAGTATTTTATAAAAAACAATTTTATATAACCAAAGGGTTAGCTTTTGGTTTGTTTTTTCTGAATTTCGCAGATAACTGTGAAAACTTCCTTCAAAATAATATTTTAATGAAAGCTAAACAGGAAAACAATAACATAAAATAATCACGTAAAGCTCTCAAGACAGCGGTAAATTTGTATTACTGTCATTAAACGAACCATTTTATTTCTTTTCTATCATTGCCTTATTATATGGAAGTCTGTACCAATAACGGATGCTAAACATAATAAAGACTAATAAAAACTCATTTTAATCTATCCTTTGTTAACAGCAGGTAGGCAGATTACAAAAGTCGACCCGTTCTAATATGAAAAAGATGTACTCAAGTGTACAGTCAGTCGGGTAAAAGTTAACTTGCTTATGATCATAAATTTTACTACGCGGTTTGTTTGAAAAATAAACAACAGCCAATATAAAACTATCAATGTTGTTCCGAGAATTTTTATTTCAACCTTTTGTCGAAACGAGTTGCCAGCATTTTAATAAATGTTCACTCATGATTGATACAAGGATAACACGGGTCGTTAATTATACAGGGGAATTGGCTAGTTAAAATTTCTTAATGTTAACCTTTGAGTTATTGGAATCGGAACTAGGATAGCGAATGCAAGGTGATTTAGAGGACGAAGACAGATTAGTCGATACCCTTCACGGTAGTAAGATTTTAAAATGTCTGCAGACTACAGCGCCATTATTTCGGACGTCGATATTTTACTAAGGCAAACACTGATGTCTGAGTAGAAACAATTAATTTCACCAAAATATGAACAGGCGTTTATTATAGTTAATAAATCTGTTAATTAGGAAGTTTAGATATTTGACTTTGTAACTAGGACTGGATTTTCGGATGATCATTATCAATATTACGATGATGTAGGTAATAATCTAATATAATTGATCATAGCCGCCAACGTACATAAAATACATACAACATACATAAAATCTGGTTGCTGTTGAGTTACGAAGCAATAAAATCCAAAATAATAAAATCGCAAACCGTAATAAGTCTTGCGTGGTCCTGTCACATTATAATAAACCCTTAACACCTAAATTTTATCTAAAACATCGTATCTTGCCGGAACTAGTAATGCAATTTCAAGATACAGCCAAGTGTAATATAATTAAAAGCCAATGTAATAGCCTCTGTGAGCTATGGACCTTAACAGATGAATCCAGCAGAACATTTACAGAAGTCAAATACTTTAGTGAATTGTTTAATGGTTTAGCCAGCAGAATCTTAGACACTTAGGCTTCGTATGGAGAGGGAGAAATATTTATTATTCGATAATATTCACTAACATCATGGCTGTACCAAAATGCACCCAAGTGTCGCAGGTGCCGTAGATAAATTTGCCTCGGTATTGATACACAATATCTCTCTCATTATTTGTAATGCGAGCTCCATTTTTTTGCCAACAATTTCGTGTGGGAACCATCGAAAGGTGTACGTTGCAAGCGAAGGCGGCGGGAAGAGTTGAAATGTTCGATGGACCGAATCAACAAATACTACGTGTGCGTTGACAATGGCGTGACTAAAATTTAATTCGTCTTCAGTTCAAACACCCGCCCGAGCGATTTTAATTTAATTTCTTTTTGCGCTGGATGAGCCACTGTTGGTCTTAGGGGCCTTCACAGTTCCGACGGACTTGAGGTGGCCTGACGCACGGGGCGCCTAGCCTGAACCTCGGCGTTATTATTACGTTTTAATTTAATGAATTTCTTCTCTTTATTATGGCAATAGAATCGGCCAATTAGTGGGGTTTGTAACCCACTTATAAAATTAGAGTCAATAGAATTAGAACATACGACCAAAACTCATTTATTTTTCTCTCGTTTCCTCAGCCTTCGCGAACTATTTACCGACCGATTTTAAAGCGCTGTATGCAGTAAAAATATGTTTTTCAAAACATTTTTTAACAAAATCCATACATTTTATAGCTGCAAAAAAAATATATGTTATTCTTGATCTTACATTCTAATAGAACATTGTTTTCAAAACATATTCTTGATATATTTCTTCGATAGAAAAAAATCATGAAACTACCTCTAAAAGAGAAATTCAAATCCAAAAATGAACATTATACATAAACAAATCTTAATGAAATTAATATCCGTGGTGTAGAATATTTTAATAATAAGGATTGTTCTCTTAATTTGTTGATTGAAGTAAGATATTTATAAATATTAAATTAATTAATTCAAGTATTAGTTAAATTTCCAATATCTTCATCCAATTCTTACTATTTCATGAGGGCAAAAACGAAAGTGAATTGTAAGGTATTTTGAAAATAATTGATAGCACTCGATATGCCCATGTGTCGAAATAACTTGGATAGAGCAATCCATTTTACTAATATACTTGGGCTATATTTTGTACTGTTTCCCAGATTTCCGAAAAATAAATGCGTACCATATACAAATCTAAAATAGAAAACATATTGTCTGTGGAAAACCATTAGTTTACACCACGCGGAAGCCTACATAGTTAAGGCTATCGCAGAAACAATAAAATCTAACCATTTTTGTGTATTGCTTGAATTCAATCTCCTTGATTCTCACGGTGAGTTATTATCATAGCCTTTGGTTTAGTTATAGCATGTTGTTATAAACAATAAAACTGATAAAAAACCAATAAGCATTAGAATAATTCCAACAGTCATCGATTTTAATCGAAATTGATTTAAAATTTATTATTCTAGTAAAACATACCAATTTATAAGATGCTTATGTAATTAATATTAAACTTACCACGACAGGTAATATGGAACCTTTGAATAAATTAAATACTATTGTTGTGATAACCTGCGGCTATAACATCAAATTTTTGACATATTAATCATAATTATGAGTGACATATTGCGTTTTGTTGATTGTTTGTAAATCATGTATGAGTGACATCAACCGAAATAAAAGACAAGTTAATAAAAAATGCAGATTGTGACGGTTTTAATGCCCGTGTATCTACCCTATTCTTATTTTAAATTGTTATAATTTATATTATAGATTTTAAGAACAATGCGATAGAATTCAAAATTATTCTGACGCAGGGTGTGCGTCGCATCTGCCAAAATCAGTCTTTTGTTGACATTCAACCAGTTTGGAAAAGAACTTCTATTTCCGGCGTCTATTTTTTTATCTAAAAAAGTATTGAATGAATAAAATTATCCAAAGGGTGATTTTACTAGAAGGGTTCTCTGGTAGATAGGGTGAGCGTGATCTAATTTTTCTACGGTTTGGTTACAATAACAAGTACGCATAAGGGTTTTTGAAGGGTTGGAAGATTATATATTATATTATTAAATCTTATATATTTACCATTAAATCTGGAGTGAATAAACTAAATTATACCTACCGATACAACAAAATAAAATTCTAAAATAAGAGTAGCCTATGTTACTCCTTATTACATCAGGTATTTGCCCGTGAAAGTCCCGTCCAAATCGGTCCAGCCGTTTCAGATATTTGCCGGAACAAACAGACAAAAATTGTAAAAAACGTTATTTTGGTATATGTACCGTGTTACATCCATATGCATTTAGTAAAATGCGGTTATTTTAATATTACAAACAGACACTCCAATTTTATTTATCTGTATAGATAATTGCCTGTATTTTAGCCTAAAACTGTTATATAGCAGCAATCGCCCCCGCTTAGCACGGGTGCAATGTATTATACATAATTATAAACCTTCGCCTTGAATCACTCTATCTAGTAAAAAGAAACGCATCAAGATCCGTTGCATAGTTTTAATGCTATAAGCATCCATAGGGACAGACAGACAGCGGGACGACTATGTAGTGATTGGACGGCAATAATGAGCCTTCATAATCTATGATGTTTAATGTAAACACAACAAGATTTGTCTTTACCATTACCATATTTCGTTATTAACATATAAAATCCAATAATAATTTAGTTCAGTTTTCCATTACACTATATTAAAGATAAAAACATCGTTATTATTACGAAAATGCACACTCGTTATTGAGAACCCCAATATACATAAATGAAAAACATCATGTCCGCAGCAAAATGTCGTAAAAATAATGTTGTTGCCAAGCGAGTTCGGAACACATAGCGCCATCTATTGAAAAAATGCGAACGGCTTCTTATAAATGGTTTAGTATCTATGCAGGTAAAATATTACACCAACATGTGATTAAAACTGTTATAATATCAGCCTCATTTTGAATTCTTATAGTAAAATGATGTCATATATATTAGTAAGAAAAACAACTAGTTGTAGTAATAAAAAATATTATTCCGAAGTCATTTCTTATTTATCATATAAATGACTTGTTGTTTTTAAATTATGTTAATTATACAAAATCAATCAATAATAAATATTCTCATAAGATGTGCAGAATTAAAATCAACCGCCATCCGGCATTGCATTTAAAGGAGGGAGAGGGAAAGACTTTTATTAGTAGCATGTAGGGGCACCATCAATTCATTTTCTTAGGATATAATCAATTGCACACATTAATACTCAATAAGCGCAATTGGGATAAAACGTTTTTGCTTTCAACACACAGAGATTGTTTGAATTAATTACACGTAATTTCATCTCTGTACTTAGATAATATGACATATAAGTTTTATCAAAAATCAACATCGTTCGCGATTGTACTGTTAACTTTCCGGATAATGAAATAAGTTCAGTCATACTATAAAAGGTTGACGTAACTGATCTAGAACTTTTTAAAAAATTGCTAAATGGCATGTCCTTAACTTATTTTGCACAAGGTGACCCTATTCTTAAGGTTTGCAAAGTCGATGCTGATTTTTTTTACATCGGCGGGAATGCAACGCTCGGAATGCAGGTCGTCGAACTTTATGGCGGGAAAGTAATGTACGATGCTAGCTGTATACTACTATCCAAAGATAACAGTAATTCATAAATGATATTAAAATGTTGACTAGGTTGGTTCAATTTCTTTAATTATAATAATAAAAATAATTTTTAAAGTTTTTTATAGTGCTAATCTCTGCACTTAAGATTGAACATTAAAACATGTAGAAAATTTATTAATTTAATAAAATTCAAAATGTGAAACTAACTTTTATTATGCTTTGCAATAATGAATTATATAATATAAAAAATGTCTGTAATCATTTTCAAACTTTTCGCTGTGTAAATTCATCACAGCAATTTCATTTAATATTCGAAAACATAAAATTTGATTAGAAATTTAAAGGTTATGAATTTTTATACTAAGGTAAATAGAAGACTGCGCATCTTTATTGTTTGTAGTTAAGGCGCTCAATAAAAATAATAGGCGCCAATTCATCAGAATCGCTCAGGTATTTCTGCTTCGCGCCATAAGCCGTTGTCTGAGGAATGTCGACCGACTAGCTTCGATAGCGGCAGCTGCGAAAAAACAATGCAACAAACGTTCCACCTCGAGAAAGACCGGCGGTCGAATGAGTGAACAAGTGAAGATACAACAACAGCCATAGGCCGCAGCTAACCGACCAACGCACGCTCGCCTCGATTTTCCTCCCACAACGTCAGAAACCGCGCCTAACTCACACTCTAGCACCCCACTCACACACACAGCGTGTACTCCGTGATGTCGCTGCGCTGATTTCCTTCCTCGAGTACTTCGGAGAGGCGCGAGACGCCGGTTAATTTTCGCTATTATTTCACAATTATGCGGCCGTTTAACTAAATTAGAGTGCGTGTGCATGGGGTTGTGTTATGTGAACATATGCGTGCGACATAATCGTTAGGACGAAGCGTATTTTCAGAGGATTTCGTGAATGGCATCGAATTAGCCGGTCCGCGGGGCGAGGGGCGCGGCGGCCCGGAGCGCGAGCGGCGACCGCTACTCGCTCGCTACCTCGCGCCTCGCCAACTAGTCGTGTCCACGGCGCCAACCGAAAAGCACGCGCGGCTGTCCTTAGAATCGGCCGGCACCCGAATAATGTTTCAGTGTCTAACAAACTCAATAGGAGGTCTCGGAAGAAGTACCGTATTTAATTTACACTGTATAACCAACCGCATATTCTCAGTGAGTGTTACGCAGTGTGTACGGAAAAAACTTTGTCGAAGATTCTGAAGAATTCAGTGTAAAATTGTGTAACTCGGCGGCCCCAGTCGGATCGCGTTTTGCACAAACTTTTCGGTAAGCTATTTTAAATATTTTAATATAACTTTTCCTCTAATCATGGATTGCATCGGTAGGCGCGGGTAGATACGTATAGATTTTGTGTAGCGTATAAGTTGCCGGCGGGGCGTTGCCGACTATGAAATGAACGTCAGCTTGTTGGCGTTTCTGCGAATTGCCAGCACCCAAATTCCTAACATTGCCGCCATTAAAATGCATCTATTGAAAAGTGCGTTTGACATTGTCCCCGAATTTCATTCGGCGGGTAATGCTATTTTTTTCCCAACGAAATAAAAACGGTAATGATTTAATTAAGTTTCGCGCATTTTTCATAGCACAATCAATTTTTAATTATGACATTTTTTTCTAATATTAAGGCTAAGTGATAAGGATGCCCTCAATATACTTTGATATAATTATTTTAAAGGTATTATTTAGATTAAAATTGTTCCAGTAAGCAACATATTGATAATGATAATTTTATATGACTTATTTTATCTTCTACAACATATGAATTCGTTTCGTACTATATTTGTTATGTACGTACATACGACTATGTTGTAGTGCAACATTGCTGTGGAGACTGAAATTGCATAACATGAAATAACTTTCGACTCCCGTTTTCTGTTATATATTATATTTACTACACAATTATATTACTAAAAAAATATTTGATTTTATTTTTAATTACGGACTTTATGTTGCCCAAGATGTTCTTTTTGATAGGTAGTTTTATAATATCGAGGAAAATATTTTTATAGCAAAAACTTATCATTATAGGAATTGTAAAATATTCTTCGTAACACAATTATAATCTGATGTAGTATTAAAGTAGTATTTTGTATATATGTATATATGTATAAATGTTATAGTACTTATCTCTTGACTCAAATATTTGTTTAAATTTACTGTGCATTTGAACATTTTAATTACTTACTTTTTTTTAATTTTAATCAAGTGTGATACGCGTTGCCGTAATAATTGTGTTTTGACCATCTATTCCTCGGCTTCGAAAATATAATCCAGCGTGGGGAAGATGCCTCAGTGCTTCGTTGTATTTGTAAACATTGTTTTCGCGCCAGTCGACGCTTGTAAACAGACGCAGTTTTTACGTGAGCCGTCGTCTACCTGGCGTTAGGCGTTTGTTCGCAGAATCACCCCTGCACCCATGTCCAGGTAGGAAAATGGGAAAATAAAACGCGGGGGTGTACGACAATAGCTAATTGTTGCATGAACTGGAATAAGTCTCAAGGCCGATGTATCCTTTAAAACAGTCCGTTTTCGTATCCAGACTTCAGTCTAGTCTTGGGCTCCGTGGTGAACACTTCCCTCTCCGCGGTTAGGAGCGTTTCACTCGTGATTTGTTTGTAAATACAAGGGGTCAACACCCCTTGTGTTTAAAATATTTAAACATTACTATAGTTATCTTTATTATTTAGAAGACCGACGGTTACTTAAACATAGTTTTTCGTTTGTGAATTCGTGCAATACCAAGTACTAGGTAATATTTCTTTAACGTTTAAATATTTTTAAATATTTTTTTATTTCGTTTAAATATCGATTATTGTATTTTTATTGTGTAGTATATCTTTTTATTTTAAATAAATTTTATTACCGGCCAGTTGTATTCTAAACAAAAGTTTCTATTGTTTCAGACGGTGTGCGTAGGACCCATCGCGCGCATCGTCCTTGTGATAAGGGGCTCTGTGATATCCTAAAGTTCGTCTTAGCTTTAAAACTAGTTAGTGTTTAGTTTTATATACATACATACCTACATACATAGATATATAGAAAAAATGTCGCCGCCGCCGCCGATCGACCCTAACATACTGCAGTTCGACATCTGGGAGACCCTGGACGAAGTCACAATGGAGATGACGCAGACCTCCGAGTTCTGGACCCAGGTCGAGTGCGAGGTGGACCGGCTGGACCTGGTGCCGCCGGCGGGGCTCCAGAGCTTGCAGGACAGCGACTCCGACTGGCGAATAGCGGACAGCCCCGACGAGCACAAGGACAACATAGTGCACCACGACTGCATGTGGGCGGGCTCGTGCGCCGACTCCGTTCACCCGTCGAACACCTTCGTGCCGTCCGAGCTGATCAGCGCGCACCCTGGTCAGAGCCTGCTGAGGCGGGACGTGTCTCCCCCCCGGCCGGAGACGCCGCCCTCGCTGGACGGCGACGAGCACCCTTGCCCCTTCGAGCACGTGGTGGACGTGGCGGGAGCGGCGCGCCGCCTCCTGAGGGACTCCGCAGCGGTCGCCGCTGACCACTCGTACACCCTCGCCCGCCAGCGCATCGACTACCTCGGCGTCCAGACACCGTCGGACTCGTGCGAATCAGGTTGGTGCCCCCCCCCCCCCCCCCCCCTGCACTAACTACGCTAAGAACGTCATTGCGCATTTTGTGAAGCCTAAACTAAACGGATCGGCGATCGAATGGCTCGGTAGTAGTTTCATTCTCGCGCCCGCATGCAGCGGGGTAGAATTCCATGTGGTGCGCGGAAAAGTTCTCGGTGTTTAGACTATAATACGTGTGACTGTAAGACGTTGGATGAGATACGAGGGGACGCAGGCGTGGCCCCGAGAGCGCGGGAAACTGCGCGTATCGACCGTTGCGGCCCCCTCCCCCTGGCCCCAGCGCCCCGCGCCCCCCATCCCGCAGTCTAGACGCACCCGCGCCTTCCGGAGTCGTCCCACCGCGACCTTGAACGTCCCAACCTTCCTTAATGTCAAACCTTCGGCAGCTCATCCCGCGGACGGGTAATTAGCCCCGTTGCTCCGCACCTGAGCACGGTGAGGTTGCGCCGACGGGACTACATTCGATTCCATTCGCGCATCGCACAAACGTTGAATCTGCTATTGTCCGCCATTAAGCGTTAAAACAGTCTCGATTGGAACGTACGCCGTTGGAGCGATCGATTGTTTGCTCTGTCGTTACTTAGTTACGCCAGCTACGTACGTAGCCGCGGCGAGACATAATTGTGTGCGCAATCCCCGCATCCGCGTAAAGATGCCCCATTGAATTGCAAAACGCGCTTAAACTTCCATTATTTATCGTCACGACCCGACCTCGGCGCTACAATGTTTTGCTATTATCGTTCTGCTAACTACCGTGGGTATCGGGCGGGGTCGCGACGGTCGCTCGCCGGTCCGGCGTACCGTCTTGTGACCGGGTATCAAAATCGGGTACGAGCCGACGTATCGATCCCGGGGCGAGCCGCGTCGGCGTACCGAGCGGGCACCGCGCGGTTCACATTCCCTCCCGTTAGCCGCGCCGGTATGCGGCGGAATGAAATGGAATCTCATTGAAGTGGGGACGGCGGACCGGTTTCGCGCTACTCCCGCGTCTAGGCCGCCTCATAGACGGCGTCGCGGCGAGCCGGATCGACGGGACGGGCCGCTGATAGCGGGGCACACGCGATCGCGTCCTGTTCGGCGCTTAGCCCGAGCCTAGCTTCGACAGGTAGACGCGTGACATCGGTCCACTCTGAACACGCTACTCCTTTCCATCGTCGCCTCGCGTAAGGATAGTGCGGATAATACGCCGGGCGAAAGATTCGCAACGCATCTAGTTAGCGCTGTGGCGTGCGCGCTAAATTTACAACACATGCGCATGTTGCTTTATCGCGGCCGTTTTCGCGCCAACACGCCGCTCGCCGCGCGGCGATTGTAGGACTTAAGACCGTTTATTACCCGCTACACGGCGGGCGACTGATGTCGTTCTACGGCCCTAGGTGCGACCCGCCAAGAACTATCCTATCGCAAAACTGCGTCTTTATTCCGCATCGCCGAGTAACACACAGGAGTGCAACTATCAAAGCGGCCAACCCAATGAACTTTAGACAGATAACCGGGCCAAATGGCTCTAGGTGCTTTCGACCCGCGCCTTATCTTGACAGATTGCGCGGCCGAGATTGTGATTTATGACGTTCAAATTCTAGGTCCCGCTAAGTAAACTAAGTGGGGCAGCGGCGGTAAATGTAAAGTGCCTTTAAGGGCGATTCAGGGCGCTAGATCCGGTTATGCGGGGCCCCCGAAACAATCGAACCGTGTCGGGGCCGACCGGTCCGCGTGAAATAGTCAATTTCGCACAACAAATTCGGAGCGAGCAGCTGATCTATTTTCGAGCGGTGACGTGGACGCTTACTAAGCAATTAAAACACAATCACACGGAGGAACGTTTGGTTAACATAGGACGAAATCGCTGCGTCAGCGTGGCAACCGAATATAAGTATTCCGATGGAATTTCGAGATTATTTCCATCTAAAAGCTGGCGACGCTTTTGTGACTTTTCCGGTGTAGCCAGTGTCTATGGGCGGCGCTGAACTGTTAACATCGGGTTGTTTTTCTTAAAAAAAAAAAAATAAGCGCAATCAGATGCGAAATCCCTTTCCAGCACAATAATAGTATCTACTGTACTAAATCTCACATGAAACCACCGCGCCCCCCACTAGGTATTACAAGTACCTAAGGTGTATTGCAATTTTATCGAGCCGCGTAGCATTATGAACGGCCTCGGCTCGCGCTGTTAAAGCGATTTGCGCGGTTCCATTCGGTTACAAGCGGCGACCTAAATATGCGACGCGCTAGCTCGGATGCCTAACCTAGGTTTAACTTAGAACTTTTTTACTTACCTACTTAGAGCTTACTTTCTGGAGTCAACGACGCCCGGAGCCATGAATAGGGTTGGCGAAGTTTCCCAAACTGATTGATTAAAATTAGGGTAGATTTTTCGGATTTTTCCCAAATAGGGTCTTAAATTTTTCTTCATTATCTTATTTAAATCATTATAGTTTCTGTTGACAAATTACAAACACATGCCACTAGTCGGTGGTCGGTGTATACGTTTGGCACGTACGGACAACGTTCAGTTATCAAACCACAACGATAACTTAACTCGTCACGACGCGTCCATATTGTCGAGTTGCTAGTTACACGTCGTAAATGCCCCAACGATGTAGTTCAGTGGGAACGGCCTTGCCGTTATCGCCGCGGGATTGTTAGATATTTTAAAACGATCGTGTGCGTAAATATTTCGAATCGCGGCAAAAGGTATGGATTTGACGTTAAGCGAAACGCGTGAAAAGTGTAACGCGCGCGCGTCACGTGCCGGCTTCGGACTCGAAATTGTCGCGAAACTTTGCGTATTAATAGTCACAGTGACCGAGTTTCGAGGGTGTTGGCTGCTACTCTCCCATACTAACCAAAACAGTTGGAGCCTAGCGCTAAGGCTAGTTTCGAAAACGCCGCCTCCTCGGCCCCATCGAGACCTTGTGAATCAAACTCCAATGCCGATAACACTCGCCAGCTTGTCACACTGGCATAAATTTGTATTGTCTTATCGTGGAAAAAAGCGTCACACGCAGCCGATTGATAAAGCCAACCCGGCAACTAGATATCGCCGATTCACCTTGATCTCGCCGACCCGGTCGGTCGTTCAACAGTGAGAATTTAATTCCCATTCGGGTTTCTCGCAACTTTTCCATGTGCGCATAAATTACGCGCCGTCGAAGGCCAATGTAGGTCGCGAATTGGCGGATTGCAGACGGACTATAGGTGCCGTAAAAATACTTAGCCCTTTCGACTCCGCACCACGTAGAGAACGGAAAGTTTCGAAGCGTTTTCGAAACTTTGATAACAACTGTTCAAATTACAGAAACTTTGAGGGATCTGCGAGCACACAAACTGACCATTGAAACGCGTTATCTATCACAATGCATTTCAATTCGCCGTTTAAGCTTCGTATCGCGTCCGCATCGATTATGCGAATTATATCGGACCCCGATAGCCGTTATTGATATTGAATATTACCTAATTCCGAAAGTCTGAGGCCACAAATTCAGGTTTGGCTTACGGACATGAAACCACCTCGGATGACGCAATATGGTCGTCGTGAACCCATTACACAGTTATTTTCAGACGTGTGACATTTGAGCTGCTTTATTATTCCTATGCTCGGTATTTGATTAGAAAAAACTTGATCTGACCCGATACGTAATACGTCTATATCGTTTGCGAAACCGTGTATTAGCTCGGCGCAATAGTTGACGGGAAATTTTCCACTTTTAAATAGCACTACTAATGTTCTGATTCCTTTAAGTTTTTTATGGTAGGGGTCATCACGACATGAATGGTTTAACTAAGTGATCCTGCAATTCTGATTCTTCAGGCGGAAGTGACACCCATTATTATCCTTCGCTATTATATTCCTTGTCAGGTTTCGTACGAACACATTTGACTATATTCGTAGTTCAGTTCATTTTCAAAGATTGCGCAGTTGGAATGTTCACACAACACTAAAACGGCCTTGGTACAGGGCTTTGAACGTTGTCCAATTAACACATACTCTTGTTTAGTTTCCTTCGATAAATATGTACATCATTTAAAGTTGTTTAAAGAGCACAAGTTGAATAAGCTTAATATGACGTGCGGTATATTTAATTTAATATCTCTTAAACAAAAGTTAATTACACGATACTCGCAATGTTTACAATTCAGTTGACCCGATAAATTACATGAGCGCAATATCGCTTGTTCGCGTTTGGCGATTTTTTCTAATATAAAACACACGCCCGTGAACTTCCTTACGAATCGCCAAGGCCGGACGTCGAATCGATCCGCCATGATACCCCGGCCCATAAATTACCACTGCCTGATTTAGAAGGCGGCCGGTCTCGAGCGCCCAACACTGCCTAGATGACCGACTTTTCTCGGTTGCGTAATACGCCAAAAATACCGCCGACGCGGGCGATGGATTCGCCTAGTAGAACGTCCATCTTGGCTCTCCTCCCGCGTATGCCTTAATAAGTCGTTCCGAATTTGAATCCTCCCTCGTACCTGACGTAATCGGTACCCGTTTAGGGCCGCACGATTAATGGGGAAACGATTAGAGCCGAGGAAACGCCACGCAGCTCGCTCTCGTGAGCCTATTAATTCACTTACGTAGCCGCCGCCGAGTTACAGGGTGTTGCGAATCGCGAATTCGCCGCGGCGCGCTCACGCGACTCGTTATCGCGGATTAAAACATTCCGAGGCCGTCGCGGGCCCGCGGTATAATCGAGACTACTATCGATGCGGAGACCCGACGGGGAATTAGGACGCTATCGGGTGCGCTAGTACGGCGATAATAGTTCAAACTTCACTCGGCCAGTAACGCGCGCTTTCGTCGACACAACGCGTTTGGAATCGCGTCGGTTCAATCGAAACAATACAGGTGAGGTTTTGTGAGCACGCTGTGTAGCGTAGCGTGCAATGCGCTCGCGTCACGATAATTTTTAATTATCGCGTTCAAATGCCAGTGAACTTGGCCTCGGGCTTTGGAGCGTGGCGGAGCGCGATGGACTCGTCTTGTGGGTCACCCGACGTCTGGCAACGAGCAATAACGCGTTATAGAGAAGCTCGAATCGCCCCTATTTTCTGTATAGCAGAGATGATACAAAACTTATTTATGTTCCTTATGCACAAGTTTATACCATGATGATTACTCGTATTACTAGCAGTTAAAAACGTACTTGCAACCAGATTTATGTTCAATATACGAACATACATACTCTAGATAAATTGATTTTAACGAATGCGATAATTCCAACATATCAACCAGTCAAGCCGCACCCAAGTAGCCCAGAATTCGATTTATTTGTGTTACCAACACACACGGTCGAAGTCTAATTCAATACTTACAGTGCCCTCGTAGCATAAATCATATTTCGTATTATAAACAACGATATAGTGAAATATTCGTTAATGAAATATATAAATGAACAGAAAACATAAAAATTTATTGGTTCAATCTCTCATCAGTTATCGCTCCGGTATCGATCGCGCCGACGTTAAATCCACATTTCGTTCCGAATCGCGTACCATAATTGAAACTCGCGCTACAACAGATGTTCATAAAGACCCGTTTCGCTCTTAGAAATCTCGCCCCACCATACTGAGTCGCTCGATCGTTATCATCGGGTTAAATACCGCTCGCGAAGGCAGCCGTGCAAACAGCATTTCCTGCTCCGCTCACCTAGTGCAAGAGAAATTATCATTATCATACTTCTTATGGAATCCGCGGGCGTTCCGTTTGCAGGATTATTCAATGCGCTTTCCAGGCCGGCGACTTATTGGCAATTCGTTTGTATGACTCATTGAATTTCTCACGGCGATACGTAGACAGTACCTAGATATTGTGACTAATCTCGTCTCGAGTGGGCTAACGGGTCGTGCGCTGCACAACTGCAGACTATATTGTTGTTTATTACTACATACATCCACTGATTACGGCCAGTGTGGCAACAGCGTGGAACGTCGTACGGAAATCGAGTTCTCCGCGACAGGCCGGATGATGTCGCGCTGGATTTCAAAATTGGAACGCAGCTCAAAATCGCATGCCGATATAAAGGCGCGCACTGGACCGGAGCTAACGGTGACAATGATATCGCTTACAAGCTGAAAATAATACCGTCGCCGTTCGATCGCGGCGGCGCCGGCGATAGAGAGAATCGCGAGCGCAACCCGCGCGGCCGCTCCTGTGTCCCGCGTTGACGCGCCGACGGATTTAGACCGCGCGATCGGAACGAATAGCTATGCGGAAGCGGCTCGCAGCGTCGGCGCGCGGACTCATCCCGATCGACGCGAGCTTTCGCGAATCGCGCCGCCCTTGAAACCGCCGGACGGCCCACGCGGCCGGCTCTCTATTTCGGACGACCTAACACGCCGCACCCGTCCGGTGGAGTGGAGCGGACACGGCTTCCGCCAAACCCCGCCGCGTAGTAAACACGGTACGCCGCGTCCGTGGTGCGATAAGTAGTCGCTCCCCGAACGTGTATGCGCGCAAAACTTCGTCCTGCTCATTTGGGAGTCCCAGCCCTGTGGCTTCGGCTCTAGAGAATGCAGGTACATTATAAGACAGAGAGGCGCCCGTGTTGAGGCAGTTACCATTGACGCCACCAACTCCGTACGTCTCTCACATTTCTTTATTCGTTCGGGAGGCGAAACAAATCGGCCTGCGCGTTTCTAGACGGCGATCGGATGGCTTGTTGCTATGCGATTGCGCCTTGGCAACAGTAACAGGTTTAACTGGTTTCGAATAGCTCGCGTGTCGGCGTTAAGTAACCGCGCTCACCGATGTGCCTGGCAATCGGGCGTGCTTCTATCGGGCATCAAACGCATTCGACAGTTAATTCCGACGCGCGGAGAGGCGGCTGCGGGGCCGGAAAGCATGTCCACCGGTTGATAACCCGGCGTCCATTGAGTGCGGACGCTGCAGTAGAAGCCGCGCACGCGCTCTCGTTTTGGCGCGAACGGCTGTGACGTCAGCCGTCTGGATCGATGTCCACAGACGCTGCGGTAGTACGCCGGGGTCGACGCCCTCGCCTCCCTTTCCCCACGCGGTGCCACCCCTCCCCCCACCTGACTACTGCAGCCGCATCCCTACGCCACATCCAGCCCCGCAATTGTATATAGACGACGCTACGACAATCGGCCCGCCTTTTATGGTGATGCGAACATAACGAGAGCCACATGAATGAAAGCATCCGCGCTATGAAACCGTTAATGCGAGCTTTCAATTTGCTACACGAATAGTAGACGCACCTCGAAACGATCGACGCGACAGCTGTTGAAAGATAAAACTTCCAAGCTCATAGTGAATTGCGCATAGTTTATACTCGTAGGCGTCTCGCTGAACTTGGTTTCCGTTGTTGCAGAGGAGGAGATAGACGTGGTGTCCGTGGGCACGACCCACCAGCCCCTGGCGGGCGTGACGCAAGTGCGCGTCGAGCCGCCGCCCCGTTCGCCGTGCAAAGGGCACTACGCGGAACCGATGCCGCGGCCGGTGGCGCGGAAGCGTCTGGTGCCGCCAACGGGTGCCCCCACGCCGCGCCGCCGAGCCAGAGGCCCCGGCCGCCGTGGACGCCGCTCCAACACCGACACCGATTCCGAAGCGGAGTCGCCAGAGATCGAGCGGCGCTCCATCCACAACGACATGGAGCGGCAACGCCGCATCGGACTGAAGAACCTCTTCGACGAGCTGAAGAAACAGATCCCCGCCACCAGGGACAAGGAGCGCGCGCCCAAAGTGGTGATTCTCCGCGAGGCGGCCGCCCTCTGTCGCAAGCTTCGCGAGGAGGACCACGAGCGCGAGCTCTTGAGGAAGCAGCAGAACAAGCTGGTCACCAAGCTGCGGAAGCTGAGGATGCTAGTGTCCCGCTACCGCGCGTATTGAGCGCCCCGGGCGACGAGCGGTGCACGTCACGCCCTGTGGGGCACCCCGAACATAGTCTCCACGTGACACTTGTGGAGTTGGACGCTCAGTAAGTTCGCCTAACGCGTGTTGCGCCACCGCAAAACGGACCGTCGTCTCGCAACGCTGCAGGGGCTGCGTCTGAGTGTTGCGCGAGCGGCGTTCCGCGGTGCCAAATTAGCCCCGTCACCGACAAATCATAGTTCTTCTCGGTTTCCAACTGACACGACAGTCGCAGACTGCATCGGGAACTAGTAGACTGGTTTATACCTCGAAAGATTTTTTTTGAGTATCATTTAAAAGTACCTTTTGAATAGTTGACACAGCGCATCGCAGTTGAGCCGTTGAACCGCCGGAATGAATGTAAAATAAAAACAAATTTGACATTTTTGTTACATAGTTTCGTAACGTTGTTGGTAGCTTTTTTACCTGCTGGGAAAATGGTACGCGTTGCTCAGTGTCACGATTCTGATCCGATTCGAATGGGTTTGTCAATGTTGTATATAAAAAATGTAGTGCCGATAGCCGTAAATTCATTAGTTAGGCTGGCAGATGGCCGCTTGACGGCGGTATGGAAAGTTCTGGAGGTGTAGGCCATATATATGTTTTCGGCCCGGTTCGTAGGTTATCCTATTTCATCCCACATGTCGCGCGCTCGTGCGAGAACAGGATAGTGATATCAAAAAAATAGCTAACTTGATATTATTGTAAGTATAAAATATTAGGTTAAATTGCTTACGGTTTTTTTGTAGTGTTTTTTTTTGTTATTTTGTAAATTTTAACACCTGATAATTTTAACACCTGTAATGATTTTATTTAGTCGCGCCATTAACTCTGATTCGACAATTTTATTGACTTCGGAATTGAAGTAATTTTGGACCATTTGGACGGTTGGTTTAATTAATTCATATATACATACACACTATACATTTATTATGTATATATTTGTTGCACCGATACAAGTTAGAATTTTATGTACACGACTAATACTAATGTAATTTTGTATTAGGTATATAGGGGTATACTTGGCTGAAGGCGCGCGTTTGTCAAATTCGTTTCGCGGTCTTTTTACTGTCAACCTAAGTGATATTGGCGCGAAAAGTAAAACGAAATAACGAACGCGCGCAACAGTCCAAGCTAAGCACTTCATAATAATCGTATGTGTATATCATAATTCACTTAGTGTATTCGGTTACTTTTATATTTATTTTTGTATGTTGTGATTAATTTGAAAACACTAATAAATTCGCTTCGACCTATCGAAATAGTCCAGTGACTCAAAACAGTGAAATATAATCTCAGTGGCTAGTAGTAATACGTTTTCAACGAAAACAGACTGTGTATTTTGATAATAACATCATAGCGGTCCGTTAAGAGTTTTTACAATATAAAAAAAATAACCACGAAATAGTTCCTCATAGTACCTACTAATAGAAAATTTTGCATTTTCTTTATTATTATATAATATTTTATCGCAGTAAGTTAGTGATGTACTTTCGATACGTGATCGAGATTGTAAAAAGCCAGGCTGTAAAAATTTTGAACGCGCTCAGTTTTTGCCGAAGACAGATTATAATGATTAAAAGGTAATCTATTCGGGCTTCGATACAGAATGATGTTTTATCAAGCACATGGTCAGCAGATTTGTATGCTCGAAGGCTTTAATTGTGTGCGGAATGTGCCTTGCTGTGTACATAAACATATATAGATAATATTTAGGTTTATATTCGAATTAGTTGCAAGAAATATTTTTGTGAGATATTATGTAGGAGTATAGCGTTGTTCTTATAAGTAGTGATACATGAGGAGGTTTATAGTTATCCTGTTAAAGGTTCGCAGTTTATCTTCCACTAGGCGTTAAATGTACATAATAGAGGGTAGATCATAGATGTATGTCATTTTTTTATAAACGAGTTTTTTTCTAGTAATTGTTTAATTTTTTTTTCTTAACGGGAGAGTTACGAATTCTCGAATGTTGTACCTGCATTTAATTTTTTTTGTTATACTTGACATAAATAATAAAGTTAATGATGATTTAGTTGTGTTGATTGTAACATTGGTTTCTTATTCGGTGATAACGTACATTGTTTTAAAAGATTAGTTCTCGCATAAGGGAAAGTCAGTAGTTAATGTTTTTAATGTAAGAGATGACAGCTTTATATTCGGTAGACAGATCGAGATTATGGGAAAAAGTTAACGAATCAATGCACATAATTGTGACAAGGCACATTTCCAACACTGCCAAATTGGACGTCATGGATCGAAAAATAAAAGGAAAAAAAATGTTACGCATACCTAGCGACTCAATTTGTAAATTTTATAAATAAGGTTGGGATGAGTAAATAATAGTTTAATTTTTATTATTGTACTTTTTTTTCTTTGTATAGTATCCGTATGTAAGGGTAACATCTGACCGCGGCAGGGGGTCAATCGTTTGGGGGCTGTAAAATTTTTTCGCGTAAGGGATCGATTGGCCTCTGCGAGGTCCGCGAGGCACCGGACCTCCAAGCTGCGGTCGAGTCGCGACACTACAGAGAGTGCAGGACGCAAAATAAAATTCCGCCTAACATTAAAGTTGCACCCTGCCATCTTTGAAGTGGCGTTAGTTATAAAGGACATGTACTTACCGCGTCTGAGTAAGCTTGGATACTATAATGATGATGTGAAAAGTTCTTTGGTTTTTGTTCCTTAATTATGTATATCGAAACGCTAAGGTAATCATTAAATATGGTAATAAAGGATAATGTCGAACCGGGGCAGAGCTGAGAAACCATTGGCTATTGGATTGTGATTATTTTATACAATTTTGGTATATTATTATTGGGTTTTCGGCTAAATTAGTGTTTAGATTCTGTGATTTTATATGTACCTGTGCGGTACGTTGCGGTGATGACGTTTTGAATGCTCTGTCTTGGTCGGCGGAAAAAAAACGTGTTGATTTTTATTGCTCTTATGTTACTTACCCCAATCCTATCCAAACACAACCTAGTACATTAGATTGAAAATCATACACACAACTCTAAAATTTTGCGTCTAAAATAATTTTGTTTGATTTATGCTGTTCAGACAGAAAATTAAAGGAATTATAAAATTTTACATACTTTTATAGAACAGATCAGTATATAAAAATAAACAAAGAGAATAATAAGAAATGTATAAATAAAAAAAAATCATTTGTTTTATATACCTATAAATGATTTACAATATTTATAAAGACTGTTGGCAAAACCATTATTCAATAGTAAACTTTTTTGTACACACACAATGAATAGATAGATCTTACATAATGGTTTATTCCTTTTTAAAAGTAGAATTGATGTTAACAAAAAAAAAGGTATTAGGTGCCGACCACAGTACTGGGACTTAAAGTTATTCCTAATTGAGCCATATCTATTAAAATACGGATGAATACAATATTATTCCAAACTGGACAAAAAACTCCCTAATATTATTTTGATTACAGATGTTTGAAACTATTTCAAAATGTTTGACTATTACTCTTGAGCTTGCTTTCTTTTGGCTATTCCACAATCTAATTCTAAATAAATACCGAAAATAGTACGTAATAACCATTGTTTAATAGCAAGTGAGTAAGGACCAGATTTCAATTCAAACAAAGTTCGTAAAGTTCCGAAAACCGACCAAGTGCAAGTCGGACTCGCGAACGAAGGGTTCCGTATCATTATGTATTAAAACGGCAAAAAATCATGTCTGTTATATGGGTGCTCCACTTAAATACTTCTTTATTCAGTTTTTTACTATTTGTTGATATAGCGGTAACAGAAATACATTGTCTGTGAAAACTATCTAACCATCATGTTCATGACATACAGCCTGATGACAGACGGACAGACATACAGACAACGGAGTCTTAGTAATAGGGGTCCCGTTTTACCTTTGTGTACAGAACCCTAAAAACAAAAACTTTGCTCCAAAAGAAATCTTGCAATAACAATCATTATGGTAATTTGTATATACATTACAAGTATATAATTCAGTACGTAAGAGGAAAATAAATAAACACTTGGTTATTCACTAAGCAATGACTAAGCCAAGAACGGAACGCATCAAACAAAATTAGATCTGTCAAAACAAAGTTGAAGTTAGTTGTGATATAGTGAAGTTGGTGTGAGTGGTGTTATGATGGCTTTGAGATCTGTGATTTCGTCAAAAATACCAATGGTGATTATTTTGGGTGCAACAGGTACAGGCAAGACTAAATTGAGTGTAGAATTAGCACAAAAGTTTGAAACTGAAGTCATCAGCGCTGATTCTATGCAGGTTAGTTTTTATAACCTCAAAATTTATAACCAATGTTTATAGTTACACATTTGCATTCATATAAAGGTATAATCGTGAATAGGAATCTAGTTGCTGCAACTGTTTGCTGTTTTTTTTTTTAAATTAATCTTTTAAATTAATCTCAATTAATAACAAAGAACTGTGAAATTAGAGGTGAATTTATAACCTAAAAGTACCTGTAGAAACCCATGTGTTAAAATTTTTTCATCCGTTTGAACATTAAAATATGAATTTTTGGATGAATAAAAAGTAAATAAACTACTATTAAGTACGTATCAGAGTTTAGGTTTTTGACCGATGCTAGGATATTTTCAAAAAATAGTTAGTTAACTATGTTTTTGCTGTTTCTATTTCTTCCTACATCTTAATATTAAATTCAACTTATACAATATATTACACATTTACGATTTTCAATTGAATAAGATACATTGTTGCGTGAAAGTCAAATATAATCGCAGTAAAAATATAAAAGTAAAGGTCTCTGCGTTACCATTGTTCGACACCACAACTGCCTCTATTGTTGCTATAATGGGGCGACTATTCCGGGTATGTGCCATGGTGTCTCATATTGTTGCGTTTCGAAGAATATTTCGTGGGGCATGTATTCTTCTCTAGTATGGGTTTCTTCAAACTCGCTTGTTTCAATACATTTTAGACAGTAGCAGTTCTTAATTTGACTACTTTGCGGGCAGACTGAACTAAATTTTGGATGTCCAGATTTGACTGTACATCTTTCACAGCTATTAACAATGTATGTGTAGCTCAAAGCATTATCAATAGTTTAAATGTGCCCTGTATTTATCTTCGTTTATTGCAGCAATAAGACTAAAAATTTGGTTATCGTGGTTTGAAACGACAAATAAATTTAAACATTCTTTTAAAATTTCTACCATTATTATAGTAACACAATAAATTTTTGCATTGTTAATCCTGTAATCATTGAATAAAGAGTTTATTTTAAAAATTCTTCTGATGACCTCTTGTAAACTTCTTCAATCGCTAAATATATTTTTCTGATCAAATTCTTTATAAATTGCACATCATAACTATGTATAGATGAATCGTGCTATTTTTAGGCACAACATCCTATTTCTTAATTCTAAAGTTATTTTAGTTTTTAAATTGTATGCTTTGTCAGCTATCATGTCTTTGATGGCCTTGGATGTTCAGCTAAGGGAATTGCATACTTTATGCAATCTTGAAATGATTGTCTTCAATGATTTTGATATGTTGACGATGTACAATCAATCTACAATTCCTTTATTTTCCTTTTTTTGACTGCTAGGGAAACATTTTCCTTATTTAAATTCACCTAGAGAACCTGTTCCAATTGATTTTTATGTTTGGAAGACATATGGTCTTTTAAATTAGTTGCATGTTGATCCTTAAACAAGATAGATTAAGTAAGGCATATGTCAATTTATAGCAAGAAGTAAATTATTAATAATTAGGTAAGGTAAAAAAAACAAGCAACTTTCTCAAAGTATGAAACTATTTCATGGTAAACTAAAATTAATGAAAATATCCAACAACTCTTCTAGCATATTAGAATGAACTAGCTAATATGTAAATTTCATGTTATGGCAAAAATATTGGCTAGTCGGCAGGATGGTATTGAGATTGATTATTTCTGGAACCTTCTTTAGGGAGAAAATATTTTCAGGTAATGAAATTTAATGTAACCTTTATGAATCTGAAAAGTGGACTTTGCTCTGCAGTGCATAGGCTGAATCAAGTAGTCAGTAATATTCATATTATATGAACATTTACTAGGTAGGTACATACATATTATGTAGGTTTTAAAAAATAAAGATAGACAATATTAGGAATAAGGAATGTAGGATACGAACATAACATACATTGTTTAGTGCCTCATCTATTCAAAGGTACTCATGTAGGTTTTACATAATTATGTCTAAAACAACCCACACGTCTATTCTCGTTCCTATTATGTCTACCAATTGTATTAACACCTTAATATGTAATTAGGTAAATAATATAAGATAATTCAGCTCATTACTGCACATAATATACAAATAATATGTGTTAAATTATAAAAATTAAGTTCCATGAGAATAAAATTCTTTAACATATGAATGCAGTAATTTATAGGCGTTAAGTCATCAACTTATTTCAGCATTAAGTAAATTATTTACGCCTTACAAAAATCTTATCTTAAATAAATAAACATGCAGGCAAATATAAACAAACATGACAACATGCTTATACACATATAATTATTTGTTTATGTGAACAGTAAAATGTTAATAAGGGCCGGTCAATACTAAGATTTATATATATCACTTAATTGGTCTATTCACCGATATCCAAGGGATTAACCCTTTCCGTATTAAGGTTATTCTGCAAAAGGTTTAATCAAACGTATGGTTTAACCATTCCTGGTTGAAACAACTAAAAAATATATTAGAACAATTGTATAGATAAGTCTGCAAGGCTTTTTTTTCCAGTTCTTCTATAAGAACCATCTTATAGACACCAGTATATCTATAGAAATAGACACCAGTCTATCGATACTGAGTGGTGGACTCTGATGCCTATGGGATTAGACTAGATACAGTTCTAAATTGAATAAAACAATTGCCATTTACTTCAACCAGTGCGTCAGAAATAATGTTTGTAACCAGTATGTCTAGTAATCGAAACTAAAGGCCCATTTACACGATGCCATTTTCTTGTACATACAAGAGCAATTATTGAATGCAATAAATTGCGCGCAATAATTGTTAAGACCCATTTACACGGTGCAAGTTTCTTGCCTGTTGTATACAATTAAATTGAAGCAATAAATGAGTTGCATGGTCTAAACAACAAATGGTCTAACAAATTATTGCGCGCAATTTATTGCATTCAATTATTGCTCTTGTATGTACAAGAAAATGGCATCGTGTAAATGGGCCTTTAAGACCATTTGTTGTTTAGACCATGCAACTCATTTATTGCTTCAATTTAATTGTATACAACAGGCAAGAAACTGGCACCGTGTAAATGGGCCTTAACACTTGCTGAACTCGTAAATTTGTGGAGGGAAATAATGCACAACCTAAACCTTATTTTCTTTTGATTTATGAAAGTGTATTCGCAACGGTCGATTGCGCAGTTTAGCTTTAACTGCACGCTATGCAGTAAAGTAAGCCCCCTATTAGCATAACCGAAACAAGTTTGCGGCAATCGCGTCCCTAAAGCGGGCAGTCCAATTCCCTGGAGTGAAATTTTTCTTTGCCCCCTCCCGTCATGTAATGTCTGTTACCGTCCTCCAGTAGTATTTAAATCGCGTTTTTATTACTTCCTCCCCATATCTTGCGCTCGAACGTGTTTGTTCTTTTTATAATTTTCCCTGTAATGTTTTTTTAAGTACGCTGCTATACTATTTCGTGTGTTTTACTGCTCCTTTTCTTCTACTGTCTATAGTTGTCTGCCGTTGTGTAATGTTTCTAAAACAAAGTTCCCTTAAATATATGCTTACATATGAAATTCTTATTAGTTTTTCGCGCTAAATTGACAATAATGCATAGATATATGAAATAAAAGCATTTAAACCGAATACTGTTGCAGTATTGATTTATCAAATATTTCTAACCACACCGACGAAACTACACCGACGCTTGGTGAGTGGTCGTTTGTAACAAAAAAGCTGGACAAAATCTGTTTTACAATGAAGTCCTAATTTTCACGGTACACTTTACACGATGGGCGAGCTGGTAATTAACGCCGCGGGGCGTGACGTCACCAACTAAACGTATCAATCTCGCATCTCGATGAAAGCGTGTCAGCGTCGCTATCGCTAGTACCCGTGCGTCTACTTCGCATTATATAAGCAGCGTCTTCGGACGCCTGATAGCCTTCGGACGGGTCGCTGCCGTTGTAGTATATCTGCGATGCGCAGATGAAGCGGTACTATCCACTCTGAAGAACAATGAAGTACACACGCTTCGATGACAACACAGCGGGGCCTTTTTTAGTCCGAAAGTCGTTACGTCACGGCCCTGGGATGCCAGTTAGACGTATGGGTAAACTGAAATCTTAATATACACGTTTTGTCAAACTTTAAAGTACATACGTTCCTACTCTTTAATTATGTGTTGTTTTAAAAAGTTATTGCAAACCAAGGGACAGCTATTGGATATCGTTAATTGTTATCGGTGGTAACGGTGGGATAAAACCAAAAAGATTTCATTATACTTTTTGAGATCAATTATCCAAATTCATATAAATCGTCTTTTTTAAGCAATCTGGGAGGATTAAGGACCGAGTAATTTATTGTGGTAGTCATTAAGTAGTTTTAACTGCTGCTGCCGTTGCAAACTATAATTATTTAGTTATATAGGTAGTTTACTTTTTATGTCTACAACCCTGCTGGCCCCGTATTACAGTTACTGCAGTCATTGACACACCATTCGAAGGTACTTTCATGTTCACCTTTGCATAAAAAAATACGATATGAGCCTCCGCGTATATTTTTCAAGTACCTACAATTCCTTAGCTTAACTAATTATTTGCATTTTGTCACTATGACCTTATAGGGTCTCCTATAAATCTGATAGGACGTATGCATTTCGGCTTTCAACTTCTAACACCACCTTCAAATAGGTCTTAATGGGATCTCGTTAGCACGATTTCGTTTTTGGGCACGCGTTCGCCTTGCACACCGTTAATTTAGTGGGCCTATGGTCGTATGCGAGGACGATACGATTAGTGCAACGGTGTGAATGCGACGGGCTGCTTTTCCAAATTTACATCACTCAGAATTGTCGCATTAGCACCGGGTCGCAAGATCTGTAATGCGCAACGTGCATGTTCTGTTTTTGTTCGCGGTTAGTGCTGAACCATTGCTTCGTTATCGTCTCATAAAGTCCGGAGTCTTTACGTAAGGAGTTGTGGGAATCTGCCACGCGCGCCGTAAGGTATAAAGGCGTCCGATCGAATTGAATCGATCGACTCGATTTGCGTTTGGCCTACTATCATAGGTCGGTCGTTAGTCATCGTGGCAACGATACTAGGCATTGTTGATAGAAACATATTCATAGGTCAGATTCTAAGACGCCACTTGTTAGACCGTATCGTTCAATCTGTTTGAATCATTATAAAGAGTTTACATTTAGCTTCTAATTCATTTACAGCCGAAAACTGTGGTGCTCTAGTATAATTATTAATTATAATTCGTCATTACATTATTATTATTCGCCATTACAAATCCGTCCAGCTTTAATAGTAAAGGAAAAAAAGACACCCTTACAGATTGCTTACCATTTTTTGGCTGTTTAATCTGCGATTTGCGCGCGTACCTCACGAATTGGGCGGCAGGCGGTCGTGTTTGCATTCCGTCGAGTTCGTCGTCTCCGTCAAGGCCACGCTACCCGGCGGCGCCTCAGTCTTCGGCCGCGTCCAACGCTCTACCGGCGCTTGACTCCCCCCAACAACCCCTCGGCGGGCTTGCTGCGATTTCTTCCGCTCACCGAGAAACGTGCATTTATTTTGTAACACACCAGCGACCCGCCCCGGCTTCGCACGGGTGCGACGTATTATACATGTAAACCTTCCTCTTGAATCAAACCTAAATGTCGCTCTAAATCCCCGGCGAAATGTCTCTGGCGGAAAACCCCTCAAACACGCAGTTGCGAACGCTGATACATGCCACGGCTTCTTTATTATTTTGCAATGTCAACCCCACTAAGGTTCTTTACTAAGAGATAAGATAGTATAAAGCAGACGATTCTCCCGACGGTAAGGTCGTTGTCAAACTCAAGTAGAAATTCTACTAAACGCTGATATCTGTCCTTATGCATACGGACGCTTGTATTATTATTTATATGGTTAAATGAAACTGTTTTAAAGCTTTTTTCATAAGAAATTCCGGCTTCAAGGAGTAAACAACGTCGGGACTTTTTAAATAAAAATGAATACGCGACAAAATAGTTAAATATAGTATTGACGATAACAATCCCGCGTGGAAATCGAACCCGCGACCCCCGACGCCGTCGGTCAAGTAAGTCAATACCTTGGCAACTGCGCCACGGAGTCATCAAACTTACTTTACTATACGCCTCGATATCCGGACGTAGATCCTTTATCTAAGTCCTCGCCTCTATCGAACAAACGCCTCCGGTGCTTTTGTGAGAAAGCGAAAAACCTGTTGGAGACGTTCCACGGCGAATTTTGATTTATGTACATGCGTTTGTAAGGAAGAGTGATACAGTTGAATAATGCATACGACGAATGTGGGACCAAGTTCAGCGTGACGTATTGGATCGGGTTCTTATTAGATTTGTAGATTTGGTTTCGTTTTAAATAAATCTCCTTACCCTGAGCCTTTCTTTTACGTTTAAATCTGGAGCTTAATTTCAAATGTGACGAAAAACAATCCAGTTGATGACGAGCGTAGATATAAAGTTCGATAGAATAAATGTGATAGAAGGGTATTATGGCACTGTGGCTAGAACTCTGACAGTGAAACTGAGTGGAGGTGGTGGTTACCGATTTCAAAAAAGGTGGACGTTTTTAATTCGACTGTATTTTTTTACATTAACTTTCGACTGATTGAAGCAAGTTTGATGATTGTTTTTTTTATTTGAAAGCCGGTGCTTCCCATATTAATTTCATTGCTATTGGATCTTGGGGTCCGGAGATACTTAGGGAACTCCTGAAAATCAATTATAAAAAAGTACAGAGCGAGATATTTAAAGTCGGTTTTGTTTTTCGCTAATAAAATATGGACTTTTTCGACGATTACTTACGTGCAGTTATTTGTGTACCTGAGTGTCCTTTTAGTGCTTTGCAAGCACTGAGTTAAGTTTGGGTCGACAGGGGCGGTTTAAAGTGAATTCCTCTTATGAATGGCTAATAAATCAAATTGTATTTTTATGCGACGAGTTGACATTTGACAAGTGAGAGTGCGGTTTACAGCCTTGTGGCTGTGCATTGATAGTCAGTCAGGACAAACGGGTTTATAAGTAGTATATATTGTACCTATTTGTTGCAAAACTGACAGTAAAAATAAAAGAAAAACGTGTTTAAGAAGTTATACTTCTTCAGCGTAACAAAAGAACAATAACTATAAATATCCATTGTGCCACTACTCTTTTGTTGTGAAAAATATATTAAATGCAACCGATAGCTGTGTAATTAAATAACTTGGAGTTATAGGTATTTAATATACTATATAATTATAGGTAATACCGCGCGAATTCCAATTGCATCGTAACAATTTTTCCCTCGTAATTATTTCCATACGCGCCAAAAATAAAACTTCTGAAAATTTTTAAATTGTAAAGATGTTATAAAACATATAATTGAGAATCTGGTGTAGTAAAACACGGGAAACGGTTTTTGGACGAGTCTGGACGATTCCTATTAGATTTTCTTACGAGTGTTTTTGGACGAGTAACGAACGAGTTACCCCGTTGGAACTTGCGAGACGACCGCTTGTGCGTCCCGAGCGTCGGCGATGCCCAACAGAGCCGTTCACGGCCGGCCCGCCGTTTGTTTATGGTAAACATTTGTTGCGTCACGCGAGACGGCTCGCACTCGGCGGCGGTGACCTTTGGCGGGTAAGTCTCGACCCGAAAACACAGTGCCCGATTCAATCGTTCCGACTAACTGAATGAGAACTCCGCCCGGTTTGAAACGCAAATTGGAACCGATGCGCGCTAAAAATGTGCGCACACTAACTACGTGATTGGACTGACTGACAAGGGTGTGTGAAAAATGAGTCTTGCTCTGCGTTTGCAGGTCCCCTGGCTGCTGCTGATTTCATACTCAAATAATTTTGTATACTTATGTAATTAAAAGAAAAAAGATAACAAGAACGCAGAGTTGCGCTAAAAGTTTGCGCAAACTAACTACGTGATTGGACTGACTGAGCGTCCTTATATTTTGAGGGCAAGGGTGTGTGAAAAATGAGTCTTGCTCTGCGTTTGCAAGTCCCCTGGCTGCTGCTGATTTCATATTCAAATAATTTTGTATACTTATGTAATTAAAAGAAAAAAGATAACAAGAACGCAGAGTTTCAGGGCGGTTCTTCCCTGGACAGGTCTAGTTTAGTGAACCGGTGGTACTGTATTTACGTTCAATAATAACTGAAAACAAGCCTATATTGAATAAAGAAGTTTTGACTTTCAGAAGAAGACAACCAAAAAAAGCGTCAAAGCGGTCGAAGTATACAAACGCAAGGCAGCGGCCTAATCCACCCTCGTAAGGTATGCGGGGATCAGCTAACCCAGTTACATCGACCACAGCATTCCGCCCGGGGTCACCGGTGGCGTCGCATTTCATCCCACTCTCGAAACGAGATCGATTCACCACGAGGTCGAATACCACAGGGGCGACTCGCGACATATTGTTCTCACGATTCTCCCCGGCTCGTTAAGATTTCAAATTTGATATAGTATTTGCAGTGTGTCATTAGACCATACTTCCTATAAGACAATTTCTTAGTAGACCCAAGATTAGAAAACGTCAAATTTCTCGTATCGTGTTTAACAAGTGCATATGCTTTGATAATACGTTAGTCCTAGTTTTTATTATTTTTTTACATTTTATGGAGTATTAAGAAACATAAAAGCGTCGAAAACAAATCTTCAACCTCGTCGAAGTCAGAATATCACTGCAAGAATCTATGTTTTCCGAATGTCTTAAGATTGTGAAGTATGCTAACGAACTTAAATGTCACTAATTCCCAGACTTAACTTTGTCCCTTTCTCGAAACGAGAACGTAATCAACTCCTGTCCGCTTCGTCGATTTTCGAGCGCATTTCTGTGAATTCAGGCAGATGAAGATAATGGTGTGTGGCGCTAAGTTCACGAGACCATTGATTGATATTTGACCCGCTCACCACAATAACAACATGATTCGGGTTTGTTTTCAAATTCCGCAATCAGTTAATGCTATTCCCTTTGGTGCTTGGTTAAACTATATAATATATGTGAGGGGTATGTATTGTCCCTTTTGGGTCTGTAAGTGCTTGCATGGGTAAGCTCTCAATAAAAGTATGTTCAAAATCAAGTAGTATATTAGCCATGAGTGGCGACATATAATTTACAGATTAGCAATGCACTCATCTAATTTTTTTTTAATGTAAATAGTTGCCAAACGAGCAGACTGTTCACTTGATGTTAAGTGAATACCGCCGCCCATGGACATCTGCTACACCCGAGGATTCCAGATGTGTTGACAACCTTTAGAAAATTGGGCTCCGGCCACCGCACTCACCAGACGAAACGCGAAAGTATTATACTTCCACTTTACGCCGGTCTTCTGTGAGGTCGTGGTACTTACCCGGACGAGTCTGCCGAGACTGCTGCGTGGCCCTACCACCGTTAGTTTTGACGGTGGTAGGGCCACGCCGTCTAGCACTCTTTTCCAACAATGTAACATTATTTAATCTGTCTATATCATGCCGAGCTATTCTACAAATTAGAACTGTTTGTGTCAGATATTATTTTCCCTCTAACCGAACTGTCGCCTTCATCTGACAATCCAAACTCCGTTCATTCATGCACGGTTGAGTGGAAACAAATGGAAACGCCCTACGATGAGGAAACGTCAAGTGATGCCGGCCATAGACACGTGGGAAGTCGAACCTGCACAGCGAACTGACTCACCGCTTAATTTGACGCGACGAAATAACGCAAAAACAGAGATTGGCGATAAAATTGCTCATGTGGGCGGCACGGGTGTCATACGTCGGGGATAAGGCAATGATGACGTCCGCGATAATCGTGTAAAGGGGCGAAGCAGTTGAAGTTCATATTAACAGGTGATGGGCGTATTCGGCCAATATTTAGCTCGTATATACGAAAAATCAAAGTCGCTCTCCTCCTCTGTTTGATTCTCGTGGAAAATAGACACAGTTCATACCATATGTATCTTATACGTCCGTTTTAGTCCCCCCCCCCCCCCCCCCCCCTTCCAGAGCCGCGATAGCTCAGTGTACGGCCAATTTTAATTGTAGTTCCCGGCGGCATCGACGAAATTGTTCTTCGTAATTTCATGTGCACGTAAACATCGTGAAGAAACTTTCATATTTTCGAAATAACAACACAACTATTTCGAAGTTATGTGAAGTGTGCCAAACGAAGTCGCGTGCTTCCTACGCCCAAATAAGACGGTTCAGGAGAGGTTTTTTCCCAGTATTTAAAGACCGTCGCCTTATATAATAATGCAAAACTTAAACATTAAAATGAAGATGAATTATAAAAATAAAAACAAAGAAAAATGTTTTTAAATATAGTACAAAAACAGTAATTATAATAATATTGATAACTTAAAATAACGCAACGTGTGTTGTGATAAGGTGGCGGAGCCGCATCAAGATCCGTTGCGCAGTTTTAAAGATCTAAGCATACATAGGGACAGACAGAAAGCGGGATAACTTTGTTTTAATACTATGTAGTGATGGACAACAGCAGTAATACATCATTGAAATTGTAATGTTAAGAAACGATTTTCGATGATTGTATTGAGTAAATTTTTATAGTGCTAATCTCTGTACTTAAGATGGAGGGTTAAAATTTGTAAAAAAGCATGAATAGTTCTTCGCTGCTGCGGTGTGCGGAGTGAAAGAAGAGTGAAGTAAGAAATGTTTAAATGGCGCCTTGTCCTCTCGAAGCCATAGTCGGGCTCCTATCCAATAAACTCCTCGGCCGCCATCACAGTGCATGGCGAATGGGTCACAGTTTCCTCTGTGGCCATCATAGTAAATGGCGATTGGCTCACAGTTTCGTCGGTTGCCATCACATGGCGAATGGCTCGGAACAGTTGTCCTACACTGAAATGCATTATACATTGAAATGCTTCAATCATGATTTGACATAAAGGAGCGGCTTAGACGGTAGGCGATCACTAAACAGTCGAGAATGGTTTAAATTGCAAGCGGCCGCGACCGCCGCAGCTTCCGTCTTAATCCATCTTATGTAAGTCATCTCTGCAACGCCGAAACAAACGTCATTCGGAGCTCTTCTTGCGATCTCACCGAAATCGCATCATCGATGGCTGTTTTTTTCTCTTCGCTTGTCCGAAATGCGATGGCGTCGTTTACGACTGTTTGTCAAGTAAATTAAATCTCGCTGGGTGTCCCAATGATATCATCAGCGCCGTCACCGCACTATGATTCGAGGAATTCTAATATCATGAACGAGGTAAATGATTATTTATCTTTAAAGCTGTTTTGATTTGATTCCTCCTAAAATTATAAGTCAATGAATATAGCATTACGTGCGATGATTACGATTGATGGTAACAAATACGAAAACGTACGCTCTTATGATGATGTTTGGATCTGCTATTTTGGAAAACTCGTACGGTAACTCATTATTACCTTATGAGTTTCGAGGATTTGCACTTAAAAAAAACGCGACAGTTTCCTTGGTAAAGTTACGATTGTATCTTTGTACCCAAGTGTGTACAAACATACCCATTACATACGTCTTTATTTAACACAGAGAAAGTGCAATGATACCGCCAACCTACGCCCAAACGTACGATTGCGCGTTCCGTGACATGTGTAGTGCAGATGAGATCATTGTGATAGCGTCCATCTAACTCATGCAGCGTGATTCATCGCCTTCTGCGCTAATCACCGTTTATTAAGGCCTCGCTGTAGTTTCCAATTGGGCAGGAAGCGTCGGTGTGATGGATATTAGAATGTATTTTAAATTCATATAACTTCGATGGTTCGGTGGGCGCTATGTAATACTTACGTACGGCTTTCGGAAGTCGGTTATTTATTTATTTATTGCTATGAACCACCAACGAATTAACACGCTGTTTTGTAATTGACGACCCGAATGGCGTAGTGTACCTGCCTCCAGCGCCAGAGGGTGTTTGTTCGATCCCCACTACTGGAAAAATATTTTGTGATGAACATATTATTTTTCTAGTGTCAGGGTGTTTATATATATGTAGAATAAGTATTTATTTACAAAAGGAAAGAATGTTTCGGTATGTTTATCAGTTATCTAGTACCCATAAAACAAGTTTGTTTGCTTAGTTTGGGACTAAATAACGTTGTGTAAAAAGGGTCCTAAAAATATTTATTTATTAATTAAGTATAACTAAGATATACTAAGATAGTGGAATCATCAACTTAAAGGTAGTTACAACATGTATTTAAAGACGTACGATAACTTAATAATTAATAAAAGTACGAGCAACATACTCGTAACTACTATAAAACAAAAAAAGCAAAAGACAAAAAAGAAGTTTTAAAATTTATATAAATATCATGAGATTAGCAATTATATGGTATGATAGATCATCGACATCAGTGGACATTTGCAACAGGTGGGGTTATAGATGAGCCGTCAAACTGAGGCGGTGATCACCGATGCTCTCACTCAGGTATAAGTACTTAATATTAAAAGTAATACTACTACTTTTTGTGTAGGTCGATTTTATATAAGACAATATTACTTTCCGGACAAGCCAGCACATTCATCTAACAGTGAAAGCCTATAAAATCGTTATTCAACTGCAGCTGAAAGAATCTGGATAGCATGTTTTTCTGCGCTTTACATTTGCTAAAAAGTTTCATGTAGGGGTAATGTCTTGTGAATATGATAAGGAAATGAGGTAGAGCTAAGCCTAGATAGAGATATATATGTAAATATATATATATATATATATATATATATATGCAAATGAATATTAAGGTATCCGAGGTCACACGAAGTCCAAAAAGGCTTTCGGCCCTAATGGAGTCTTTATCTTGTCGTTTGGCGTTTGCATTAAAAAAAAACGACGATCCATCTAACACTGAAGTCGCGATCAAATCCTAATGTCAAAGCCCGCGAGGCCATATTCTTAGTCAGGCCGTCGTACCGGCCAAAAATTCACACCGCCCCAATGGAGCCGTGAGTCAGGTGCGCAAAAACTCGTCCAGATGTGTGAGCATTATCTAGATCGTCTGTTACGCGTTGTGTTAACACTGAGCTAACGCGCATCTAATAACAACCTTATGGACGTCTACGATCGTGAAAGCGACTACGATTTATGTTGAAGACAAAGCTCTTTTTTTATTTAGAAAAACATTGCACTTACTTTAGGATAACATTATCCTGTGTTTTAAGGACATTTTACAAACATAAATTTTACTTGGACAAACACCTAGATGCGAGACAACTATCTGTGGGCCACACAAATAGTTGTCCCGTGTGGGAATCGAACCCACGACCCCCGAAGCCGAAGCCAATACCTTGCCAACTGCACCACTCTCTGTTTCGAAGTTTTCACTTAATTTTACTACTGTTCGTTAAGTTGTATCATCTTTATAAGTAAGATGTGCATACCAACCGTACTTATTGTGCATGTCATTATCGTTCAAAAGATTGAAGACTTTTCGGATAGTCAGACTGCTTACGTGGTTAATGTTAGTCACTTGTCTGTCTATTGTTTATGATCAAGTTGAAATAAAGTATTTAAAAACCCCAAATGAATTTATATACAAAATAACCGAAACAAAATAAAATGTTTTGGTTATTTTGTTGTGCTGCCCTTTGTCTCGTAACGAATGAATGACATAAACACTATTTTACCTAAGATGACATTAAAACGTATCAGAGAGCTATTCTCCGAGCACACATTGCGCGTATATCTGGAAGTACTATTTGCTGGTCAGTACCAGAGACCAGTCCCTGCTGGGTGTTAGCCAGGGGTGGCCAACAAGTTACATCGCCAAGCTGATAGCTCGTGATGTTTTAACTTCGTCTATTTACTTCACACTTTGATCTGATTTGATCATTGAAATACATGATCAAATTGAGAAATTTGATCATGCATTTCAATGATCAAATGGATCGCATAACATTCTTAAGAATTATTTTTGTAGGTTTTTAGGACCATGCAAAAGCCTTACCTGTTGCAAGAATACGTCGGTCCAAACGGACGGGTAAGTATCACGACGTCAAGACTGACGTGTACTGGAAATATTACTCTTTTGCGTTTCGTCCTGTGAGTGAGATAGCTTTGGCCCACTTTATTAAGAGGTGGCAATGCATCTGCAACCATACAGATGTTGCAAATGTCAATGGGCGGCAGTTGCCACTTAACATCAGGTGAACCACATGTTCGCTTGCTAAAAAAAGAAGTTTGGTCATCCCTTCTCCATATCATTCGATGCGAATTGAATGCGTTGTGATTTTAAGATCTAGCTTGTTAATTGCGTCGCGGTCGAAGCGGAACTAGACGGGGGACCGTCCTGTCCAAATTTCTTCTCTGCTTTCGTTATCGAGGTCGCCCACCCTCGCTAGGCAGACGAGCGAGATATCGTGAGCCAATTCGCCGTAGCCGACGAGCAGACGCTCGCGGTAGCGCTGGCATTAGCGCTAATTATTCAGGCACGCTTTCGTCTAAGCGGACCAGACGGGTTACTGACACCGGCCCCGTGTTTCTAGAATGTTCCGGCACGCTGGCGTACTGTAACGGGCCCGTTGAGCGTATTGTGAGCGATTCATTCGCAACTCGCGCGCGACGTTTAGAGAAATATTGAAGAAGCAATCGGACCAACACCTCTTTTGTTTCAGCTATTCGTTCCTCTACGTGCTCGGTACGTCTGGTGGAACATATAATGGAATGGACTTTATTGGTCGTTTACAAGTTACGACTTTAATAACTACACCGCGTAACAAATGTTACCTGTGTGGTGTCAGAAATGCAGAATCAGCTAAAACTCTTGTTATAACTCTAAATTCTTCTAGTTTGTGCTTATTGATTTTTGAAATTATTAATTTAGTATTATTGTTACTATAAAATGATATTGCATTATGCAGATTTATTTCATTATCCACTTTTAACAATATATGGATATTATACGGGCTCCTTCGACGTCCTATTGTAGCCAATAAATTGACGCTACTCTGTAACAAGTAACATGTAATACATTTGTATAAGAAATTAAGGCCATGAAGTACGTAAAAGGTATCATATTAGCCAACATAGTCTACTTAACCCTACTAACTTGATAACTTTTTGCACTCGCGATTCAATTGTCTAATAGGAATGCTTATAATTATAACATGGACTATTGTTTTGTTCTTGCATCGAGGTTATGGGATAGGAATAATTTATTGACTGTTTTATTCATTTTAATTAATGTGTTTTATTTAGTAGCTGTGTTTTAATGCATTGACATCTTATGTTATTCGAATCGTTGATTTATGTTTTGTTCATGAACGCACTGAGGGAACAGTGTCTGAACCAATTATTTATTCTATATATTATTACGTCCACCACGGTCTGGTCATCTTTCTTAAGTAAAGTAACAGCCTATATATTATGCGCACATGCTGGCCAAAGGCCTCTGAAAAGAGGGTGTCATGTAGTACTCCTAATACCCTTTATTAGGGAACAGTCCACCACGCGGCCCCATTGCGGATTGGCGGCGGACTTCATAACTTCGAAATATTTATTTTTTTGTTATTATTTCCAAAATATGCAGGTTTCCTCACGATGTTTCCTTTCACCGCTGAGCACGTGATAAGTCAGCACTTAATATTCGTTCTTAAGTCATTGGCGCTGTCACTGGGAATCAAATTGTAGTTGCTCGAGTATATTATTAAACGTGAGCGCCCGGATAGTGAGCTATCAAGGCTTTGTTAAAAATACGTAAAAAGGAGTATTTTAACGTATTTGTTAATAAAAAAAATCGTTTCACATTTTGTCGATGTTTAGTTTCGATGGCTTTGACTCTATCGTCGGTTACTATATTTGGTCAACTAACGCAAACTTACAATGTTGTGTTTGTCATATCATAACATTTAAGTAGTAATCATTGGTTGAAACTTATATCTGGAAGTCAAATATAATTGTATAGGATTGCGTCGCGAAGTACGTTCCTGTAATCTCCCGTCCGCGAGCAGTTACCTCATGTATGAACCTCGGTCAATGTCGCCTCGTTTTAATTATCATTTGAGTCGTGCGTTACCGGCTTCTATTATTTCACAACATGATCGCTAAGCAATTACGGGTTTCGCCTTGGTACAGTTGACCTTTGCTACTCGTACTAGTATTGTATTTTTTAAAATTATCTATATTGTCTTTTCGTCAATAACTTGGTGAAGCGCGCGTGAGAACTTCCCATTGAAAATACCACGTTTGCCAACAATTAGACTTCCTTTGACCTCAAATTCTGCAACCGGTTCGCCAAATTAGTCCTGTCCAGTGAAAAAACCTGTCAAAAATTCTGCAGTAATATATGTATATATAAAAGACAGATATACATAAAATATGTATATAAATTATAGCCTATGTCTTATTCTGATCTATTAGCTATATTATTGTAAAGTTTCATTAAAATCCATTCAGTAGTATTTGCGTGAAAGAGTAACAAACATCCATCTATACATACAAACTTTTGCCTTTATAATATTAGTAAGGATGTAATACACTCGTCATTTTCAAAAATCTTAGCTCTCCATTTTTTCCAGAATATATCTTATTGATCTAGGATAATAGTTCTTTTCGGTTATCCCCCATCCTAATATATCTAGAAAGTAATATCGTCTTTAATTGTTTATAATACCTGCAGCCCCATGTTTATTATAGGTGATCAAATTAACAGCTTCATGTTTGTCACCTCGTGTATGACCATAGTGTCAGCAATAGATCTCCACGATAATACATTACTTAGAATTATTATCTAGGAATCCCCCGCCGTATAGAGGTAGTCAACCATATTTAATTTGTTTCCTGTCTAAATTTAGTACGCCTTCCATCACATTCGAAATTTTCATACTAGTCTGATCCGGTCTGTACTTATCTCTGGTAAAATTCCACACCTATTGTCCGCACGTTCCATTTGAAAGTGGCTCGTCATTAGCATAATTGACAGCAATATGTTCACGTCTCTATGTTTCCGTCGAATCGATTTTGTCATTAGAGTAATCGATCTATTGAATTTACTGGTGAGGTGTTTGATCCTTATACAATTACACTGCTAAATTTTGGTTATGAATTACGAAGCTGATTTGAGGAAACCAAAGGTAGAATATATTTTTAAGACTCCCGAATGACGACTGTTATTCAGGTCATATAATTAAATGTTTGTGCGTCAATTCAAACAAAAAACATGCGTAACGTACGACAACAGTTTCTTGAAACAAAAAAAAAGTTACTTAAACGCCGTTGGACTTTGCCTCCGATCGTGTCCACAACGCCATGGAAGATTTTTGATTCTTTCTTGCAAGACACTGTATCATACTTGAAATCCTAACTGGTCGAGTTGCGATGCAGCCGTAGATGCTAAATGGACTACTTCATTAACAGCTTGTTACTTTCGCCTGGTAAATATAAATATAGAAATAAAAAGTCGTTAGTTAATATATTCAAGTACTGCGCGTAATTGTGTTGTGACATTCCCTCTTCGGCGGATTAACATAATCGCTTACCAAAATCGACGTCGCGTCGGAACGTGAGCGTACAAACACAGCCAGGAATCTAATTTTGATCGTTCCTACGTTTAGTACGCGTTCCGTTGAATAATTAACACCGATATTTACAGGCAGCGCTTGATTTATTATCTGCACGTAACGAGCCAAAGTGAATATAGTGTCACATCCAAAAATAACAACCTTGTCCCAAACATCGATTGATATGTTTCATTATCTTACTTCTGAAAGCCAGTGGAGTGATCCATAATGTGTAAGAAGTTTCTTTATGCTTTCATTTCGGAAGTGCATGGGCTCAAAAATATTAAAAAGATCTAAGAACCGAAAACAATGTTCATGAAACTGAAAGAGAAAACACCATCGATAGCGAATACAACTTAAAAAGAGTCAACACTTATTTCAATTATTTCTCCTTTCTGTTTTACTCTGTTTCGTTTTTTTATTTCAACTGATTATGATCATTTTATTACATTAAAGAGCAATTCATTTCGATTTTTCCAAAAATCAAAGTGTCTATTCTACTGTATTTGCATTCACCAACTTTTATAACAAGTGGAATACATTTGTGCCATCAATCTTCATTTTTGATTTATTCGTTCTAACCTCTTTTAAATATTGGAAAAACGAAACATTTGAATATTATAGAATCATCCAAAAAGCAAAAAGACGAAAGTATATTTTTCATGTCAAGGAACCGAGTTGACATTTTCAAATGACGTTCTAATTTCGGATATAAAGTACAAGCATAATATGTACTAGCATACGCCACTGATTTCGTCCGGCTATTTAAATTCTTTTAGTACGAGTGCATAGTGCGTTGAGTGGCGACCTTGGATTCGCTATAGCAAACAGAATTTCTTCTGTGCCCTTGGAACCTACCCGAAAACTTCTATCTGGGATATGCTGTGTAGCGGAAGCGGTTATGTAAGGTGTTGAAGGAGCAGTTAGGTCTCAGATTTGAACCCAATGTATGACGGTAGCCTCCCCTGTAGTGGGTCTTATGAATCGATCTTTCCTAATCAGGCAACGGTCTGATTATCAGCAATGTATGTGTCGTTGCATAGAATAATATCTAGAGGAATCCGCCGATAAGATTCAGAGGGGGAGATTCGCTATCCACACCAAACAGACCATCTCACAGTTTCAATTTCACTTAATGGCCGCCGCTTACGCGTGCGACGTGCGAAACGCCACTTAGCGAGCCGACGACGCGGCCGAAGTTCCGCCCGCGGAGTCTACGGGCGGAATGTTCCCCGCGCTCTCGTGACATCATATGCCAGCGACCTAGCGAGGTCGCCGGTGCCCCAAGTGCTAATATAGCGTCCGAGTCCGCAAGCCGTTGATCTCGCCACGTTCTTGGCGTTTTTTTCGCCGCTTCAGCGTCTCGCGCCCGCCGCTCCCCTCTAGGAAATAGTCTCGCTAGACGGTTTTTGACGCGGCCGCATCGGCGCGAATGCACCGGTCTCGTGTCGCGGCCAACGCAGTCGTAAACTTTGACGTTTTTTCTTCTACCCGCTCGGTCATCGAATGATTGTCTTAATTCGTCTTAGCATCCAATTAGCCGCGATTGGTGCTGATTTAATCCGCTTCGTGAACGTGTTTTTTTTTTTGGGAGAGTAGTAAATTACCTCTCCTGCTATTTAGCTTTTTTTTTTCGTTCTTTCTAAAATGGAATGTAAAATTTAAATTTTAAGATAAAATTCAACTTATATGATGGTGTCCGACGATAACATGTTACGAATTCGAGTAAATGTAAGAATAAAAAAACTTTGGAGTAAAATAATTTTTCTTAATATACGTGCAGTTTTTTGCCGATGATGAGTCATGATAGCTCGGTGTCTGGCCGCTCGCCTTTAATTTAGTATACTTGAGCAACCTGAGTTCGATCCCCGGTGCCGGCACCAATGAAATTGTTAATTTTAAGTGCTGCTATCACGTGCTCAGCAGTGAAGGAAAACATCGAAACCTTGCACCCGCACTAATCCGCAGTGGAATAGCGTGGTGGACTATGTCCATATATACCTTCTGTGCAGAGGAGGCCTTTGCCCAGCAGTGAGATATAAGCTGTAGTAGGGTAGGGATTTTAATCTAAAATACCTATTGGTTGTTCTATATGGTGGAAAAATAGTACTGCCTTTTATTTTTTTAATACTTCAACTAAGTCGCGAACTTAAATCGAAATACAACCCAGATGATGATTTTTTAGCGACTCGCGTTTGATTTATCTGAAGCTAAGTTAGCAAAAGTGATTGATGGGTCGGTATCTTTCTTAACGTAAATTTACTATTTTAAGTACATACATGTGTATTGATCACCGCTTGATGTTTTGTTGATGTGAGTATTGATGTTTACCGCCAAGATACAAGATTGCTATTAATTTGATTAAAAATTGCAGGATACAAGATTGTTATTAATCATGTGCAAATTTTCAGTGTTTCTGTTGCCGCTATGACAACAAGTACTAAAAAACATAATACAAACATGTTTAAGTGGGGGCTCCCATATAACAGACATAATTTTTTGCCGTTCTTATAGATAATGGTACGGAACCCCGCGAGTCCGATTCGCACTTGGTCGGTTTTTCGAATTTATCGCTTTAAACTTTAGCGGAGTATTCCTTGCTGCTGCTTATTGGATAATCCCCAAGGCCTCGACCTCTCAGTGCTCCCCGCCTACTACTACGCGTTTTGCTTTTATCTCGATCGCTGTGTGAACAACCGCTTTATGGCGGCTGGACAAAGGAACGAATTCTCGTCACCAACTGGGCTTTTAATAGTGCGGCTATGTTGGATCTGACCGACACGAGTGTTCCGGTTTTTGTCTGGCCAGATGACGACTTTCGCACGGAATATTTAAGTGGCTAATTCTAAATAGACTTGGCAAATAGTCCTAGTGCTTGCCACACGTTTTCTCAGCGCACAGTAAGGACAGAGCGCGCAGTTTATATGACTTTCAATTTTGTACTCTTCTCTCTCTCCACTAAGTATTCGCCAAGCATGTAATACATTTCCAGAATGAATACATTAAAATACACTTAATGGTTATGGTCACTCGTTGTCGTGGTAACGATATCTTTGATTGGGCAACTGCGTCATGTGTATCAATTGATTTCGTAAACTTGACAGCGATGGTCAATTAATAGGACACGTAAAAAACGACAAATCATTACATTAACAAGTAATACGTAATAAGCGACATAATTTACGACCCGAATGGTATAGTGGGTAGTGTACCTGACTCCTGCCTCATACGGTGTGGGTTCGATCCCCCCTAATGGAAAAATATTGTATTAGTATTTTGTTGTTTATCACTATCACTACTTAATATAAAACAAATTCACCCCGCTGTCTGTCTGTCCCTATGTATGCTTAGATCTTTAAAACTACGCAATGGATCTTGGTGCGGTTTTTTTACATGATAGAGCGATTCAAGAGGAAGGTTTGTATGTACAATACATTGCACCTGTGCGAAGCCGGGGCGGGTCGCTAGTATATGTATAATACATATTTATTTACAAAAGAAATGTATGTTTAAGTATGTTTATCAGTTATCTAATACCCATAGTACAAGCGTTGCTTAGTTTGGGCCTAGAGAACGTTCTGTAAAAATGTGCCCTAAATATATTCATTTATATATTAATTATAATTAGATTTTACTTTGATCGCTACACTAAATAGAAGTTAATTAAAATCAGAGTTGTTCAACTTTCGGGACTGCTGATAAGATTAATTGGTCCGCTTGAGCAATGAGCAACGGCATGACTTATCCGACTAGCATATTTGTACATTCGTATGTTACCCGTGCATTTCGTTTGTACCCTGCCTTTGATTTATTCAATCCGCCCGACCCGATTGTGTCGGCGTGTGCCGACCGCGTGCTTTTTTCATTCGTCTCAAATTCTTACTACACATGTTTATTCCCAATGGAAATGCACGTCCGGTTGTCTGGTGACTGATCAAAATTGGAGTCGGCAGAGAAATAGAACACTTTATCGTTGTGCAAGCGCAGGCTTTTGCTCCGGGCAGTAGTCTAGTAGTCTTTTATACTTTTGCATTTCGCGATCCCGTTCATACTGTTGGATGACCGTGGGCGGCCGTAGGGACGAAGTATCAGTTGTGTCGCCTTCTCGGTCGACATTTAAAGTTGTAGAATAATATCATCGTCATCATCAGCCGCAAGAAGTCCTCTGTGAAACATATGCCTCCCCCTTAGAACGCCACAACGAACGACACCGCCATTTGCATCCACCGGTTGCCCGTGACTTTTACGATGTCGTCGGACCAAATAGATGGAAGCCTTCCAAAAACAATTTATCACAAGACATGTCAATTATTGTTGTTCTCTAGCAAAGTTTTAAATTTTTTAACTTTTTATAATTTATAAACAATAATAAAGAAAAAATAATATATACTCTTCACATTTAGTCAAATTTTTTATCGTGAACGGAACAACCGGAGGTTTTGTCGATCTGAAAATTGCTAATTTTCTCCATGAACCTAATGCTTGTTTGGCTGGTGATTAGTCAGGAATGACATTTAGTTATTGATTATGTTGAATTCACTAAAGTTTATTTATTTTTCTGATTCTGGTTGTACGTTTATTTTATTTACTTGCGTTTGTGAATAATAAACTCATTCCGTGTTAAAACTTTACATTATGTTTTTATAGTGCTAATCGCTGCACTTAAGACGAAACCCGCGGGAATCTAACCCGGTTGTTCTGGAATCGCGCCCAAACGATTGAACCACCTTTTCTACAAATTTTAATAATTTAATTTCGCATGTTTATTTAGACAACAACTCGTTTCCTAATGTTTTTCATCGCGTCAATTAATTTCAAAATATAAGCGTAGTCCATTTCGTAACTAGAGCTGGCCCCTTTTATTGGGGATTCGCTTTGATAAACGATCGGTCTTATTCATCTCAAAACCTGATCCACTGAAGTTTATATTTAGTTATATCTAACTTATTAATTCACAACGTTCGCCTTGACTCGAAAGTTCAGATTTTTTTTTATAAAGTGAAACTTCGCATCTTTTATATATTGGCTATGTTTATAATTTACTTTCGCTTAATTACTATGGTATTTAATCTTAACTAGCGTGTCAAACCGGTTGACGTTACTCGCTGGATGTAGCCTCGTGAAGACTAGATAAAATTAAGATAATTAAAATAAATTTAAGAAACATGTATATAACAAAAAAAATGTTGTATATGTTTTTGTTACAAAAAATTGACATGCACATTTTTGTTACAAATGGTTATATGTTATATGGTTTTGTTTGTGATAGGTTGTCAACGCATCTAGAACCCTCGGGTGTAACAGATTTCCGTGGGCGGCGGTATTCACTTAACATCAGGTGAACCGTCTGCTCGTTTGGCAACTTTTCACATAAAACAAAAAAAAAAAAAAAAAAAAAAAGATATCCCGTCACTCCGAGATCCTAACATCGAAAATTTAACAATCAATCAATCAATATCAGCCTATTGCCGTCCACTGCTAAACGTAAGCCTCCCCCAAAGTGCGCCAACTATCCCGGTCCTGGGCAGCCCGCATCCATCCGCTGCCCGCCGCCTTTCTTGAGTGGTCAGTCCATCGTGTTGCAGGGCGTCCCACACTCCGTTTTCCTAACCGCGGTGTCCACTCTAACACGTGTCGGCTCCAGCGACCATCAGTACGTCTGGAGACATGGCCAGCCCACTTCCACTTCAGCGTGCTAATTCTGCGCGCAACTTTAGTAAAATTTAACATATCATTATAATTAAAACTTATAATATTCTTTTTTTTATAAGAGAAGGCGGCAAGCGAGCTGGTGGTTTACCTGATATTAAGAGATAACCGCCGTCCATGGATAACTGCAACACGCTTAGGGTTGCAGATGTGTTGCCACCTTATTAAAGTGGGCCCCGATTACCTCACTCACCAGAAGAAACGCACACTTCCACTTCCAGTCTTCTATAAAGTCGTGGTACTTCCCCGAACGGACCTGCCCATTCGTGCAACAGACTGTTGCGTGGCCCTACCCGTTGTGTACCTTGATAATATGGTACCCTGACCTGTGGTATGTAAAATATAAACCTGTAGGCTGCCGCGTCTGCCTGTGTCAATACCAAATGAGAAATTTTAATACTTCAAATTCAGTCATGGTGCCCTAAGGATATTCTGCATGAAATTTTCGATTACTTTGTGTCCATTAGATTCCAAGAGTAATTCCAAAAAAAAAAAGACATCATTTTTCGTTATGTACTGAACAAACTAACTATTTGCAGATACTTTAATTACTAAAATCGAAGGAAATTTAATACACATGTTACGTTAGTTCTTGACATTTGTTAACTAAAGGAAAGTTTTAACGTTAATAAGTAATTAAGACAATCCACAATTGAATAAAGGAAACATTTTCGCCTGTGTCAATGTCTCCCCTCCCCTTTATTGTCTTATCCTAGATGGGGGACATCTTTTCCTCTCATAAAAGAGAACTTAGCGTACCCAAAATTGAGGGACTCCCATTCACAGGGTAAACACGTCATCGGTCAATTTTCCTTTCAAACGTATTAGTTTCAAACTTACTATAGTATTCTAAAAGTATCTGAGAGCGTGATCTCCGCGCACCCTGTCTCGGGTGATTCCCGGCGAACAGCGCCGTCCCGTGGCGGGAACTCTGACCCGCCAAGGCCGCCGCGCAATTGTCACCGTCGTCAGCACGGGACAGTAAACAGACAATGGCACGTGATACGCTCTTTTAACTGTTTAATAAAGCCTTGCACAATGGAATGGGCTGTGCGCCCCTGTCATGGGAGCTATCGTGTTTGCGCGCTTTTCTAAGTTGTCGATTTTAATTTGTGCGCTTAGTTTTGACCGTAGCGAGATTTTTGCCACCTTGCTAGTTTACCAAGAATCAGACGGGTATGGTTGGTAAGGTAGTAATACGGTGCTACGGAACTGAGTAGGGGAAATTTTTCACTCTAGCCAAAGTTCATGTGAGTAGCCATGACTGCGTCATGAATATTTTTTTATTAGAAGACACAAATGTCTATTGATCAAATCGTAGTTCGTACTTCTTTGGTACTCCTTATTTCTGACTATCAAAGAAGCACCCAGAGAGTTCACTGAAAGAAAGTGAAAAACAATGCTGACAAGTGACTGACAAACTTTTAATATTTTTGTCTTTACAAATAGTTGATACTAGCTGCTGCCCGCGACTATGTCTGCGTCGAATAGGCTGAAGGCGTAACATTCAGACAAAAAGACAGATATACATAAAATATGTAAATAAATTATAGCCTATGTCTTATTCTGATGTATAAGCTATATTATTGTAAAGTTTCATTAAAATACATTCAGTAGTATTTGCGTGAAAAAGTAACAAACATCCATCCATACATACAAAGTTTCCTTTATAATATTAGTAAGGATTCGAGCCTCTGTGCGGGCGCACGCTTTTAATTCAATATACTCGAGCAACCAAGTTCGATCCCCGGTACAGGCCATCAATGCAATTGTTAATTTTAAGTCCTGATTTATCACGTGCTCTCCGAGGAATCCAGCATATTTTCGAAATTATTGCAGAAAAAAATCTTTCGAATATGTTTGAAGTCGTTTGGGGTCGCGTGGCGAACTATGCCCTAATATCTGTAGAGTGGAGGCCATTGTCCAGCAGTGGGACATGTATTATACACTTTTACTTTACTCTTAAAAATAGTCAAAATTTTCCCTTCTTTTTTCCACATTTGATAAGAACAATTTACATATATAGGTACTAAATGTAATATGAAGTGTGGATCAGGAAAGATTGTTTGTATCTAATACAAACACTTGTTTCGTGCGGTACCTAATCGAGCTTATGGCTCGCAGCGGCAAAGGCAGCAACTTGATGCCTGCATCGTCGAATACGTTTTTACAAATACGTTTATTGTCAAACATATAGTTTAAGGTTGGGTTTCTTTGTATAAACTTTATAGTCATCGATAAAACACGTTACTGTATTGGTTGTTCCTCTTCCGTCTCTTTGTGGCTTAGGTATCGCTAATTTTACTGTCATGTTCAAATGTGAATCATTTTAAGTTTAATGACAATCTTCAACTGATCCCGTCATAATCAAAGTTGAACAGATTCGGGATTGATTATCAACATAACAAATTCACACCACAGTAAACGTCATCGTTCGTCCACCGGTACGAAGCTTGCGCAATATTTTTTCTGTGTGCAAATAAACAATTGTAAACAGAAGTTGTTTACAGAATACATTTAACGTGGAGACGTTAATATTTTTAGATCATTCTCGCAAGAAGCCATGCCGGGAGAACAACGTAAATTTGAGGTTCTCCATTCAAAGCTTTTCCCTTTATTTTGGCGTTCGTAAGAACTTGATTGTAATATTTTTCTCTTTATACGCTCACGTGCTTTCATAAGTTACTTTATAAATAGATTGCTGTTTACTTAATTTGCTGTCTGGCTTCAATTAAATTAAGAAGTCAAGATCAAAAAACGTTGGAATTGCAGCTAAATGTAAATGTTTAAATATTGATATATTTTATCCAGTATCCTAGAAACGCCAATTTGCAAAAAACGGAATCACACGCATTAAAACCAGACAGCTTTAATTTAAAAGTAAAATAAAGTAGATGGTTCAAAATTAAGACTTAATTAATAGTAGATACATTTTACATGAATTATGTTTATAATCCCACTACGGATAAGGTTTATAATTGTTTCATAAGATTTCTGCATAGGAACGAGAGCAAATGATTTACCACCTGTTTTTTGCCCACTTTTTTAAAACACAAAATCCCAAAAATATTTATATTTATTTATACACAATTGTATAAAGTTACAGGGTCCGTACAATATCCAAATGGACAGAGAGAAAACGCACCGAGATGAATACCCATTGATATCCAGTTGTTTCAAGTTTTCAACCTTAAACTAATCAGGAAGTTGTTTAAAATACATAAAAAGCTTTCAACCCATAAACCGCCATATGACAGCAATTTAATGACTTAAAGCGGAAGTATTATACTTTTACTTTTACTATGAAGGCCTCCCTCTAGGTGGACCGACGACATTGTAAGAGTTGCGGGCAACCGCTGGATGCAAATGGCAAAGTGTTGTTCGTTGTGGCGTTCTAAGGGGGAGGCCTATGTTCAACAGTGCACCTCTACGGCTGATGATCACGATTGTACTTCCCGAGTAAGGCAACTGGGGCCGACTATGGTAACCGATGTAGCCGGAGCCCAATTTTCAAAAGGTTGAACGAATCTGCAACCCTCGGGTGTAGCAGATGTCCATGGGCGGCGGTATTCACTCACCATCAGGTGAACCGTCTGCTCGCTTGGCAAGTTATCATATTAAAAAAAGGCAACTGATCCGCTAACCTTCTATGGCGGTTGTCCTTTGGCGGCGGTTGCTTACCATCAGGTGAACGTCGCTTGCAAACTTTTCACGTGAAAAAACAACTGATAGTTTTTCGTATTTCGCTCGTCCTCGACAACGATTAGTTAACGTTCTATATAAGACAGCACCTAGGGTGCAACTCGCTTAGCACGTATATAATGCATTTAGTGTTGCACACTTTACTTTTTAAGGGCAAAGACTTAAACGTACGGCGTTCGAACAGACACGGCGCAGAAACGTGCTCTAAGCGCCCTGTTGCCTAGCGAATATTCGGCGTGACGTCAAGGCCTAGGCTGAGCCAACGACCCGGCAAGGCCAGAATGCGAGTTTACGACGCCATTACACGTTTTACGGGGCCGCCGTTGTGACGCGGACGGAGGTTTTTTTTTTAATCGCCCGCTCCGAAGGCTGCGGCACACTGCCGAGTGCCGGGCGCTGGGTTCGTGTTGTAGCTGGCATTTTGATCAGCGGTGTACGGACTGAAAGCGACATCGCTTAATAGGTCTACACAACATGCCAGTATGACCTAGGTAGGGTCGGCACAACATTGAATCATGTTGTCGCTGACTAGGTTTTTTTTTTTACAAACTGTCCTATGTTTGATGCCATGCCCCTTGTGGACAAACACACAAATGCGGAACGATTATCTGTGGTTAACACAAATTCTTGTCCCGTGCGGGAATGCGAAACAGAGGATCTTCCTGAGCAACGACGCTAATAGCTTATTGAGTCATCACTCAACAAAGACAAAGATAGAAATGTGCCTATGGGCAATTTTCGTTTCGAAGCCAAAATATAGGTATCACTTGCTTAATACGGCCGTGAGAAACTTCTCACTTAAAACGCGTTCCCCTGTAACCGGAAACTTTATTTTTTTTTGTAACCGCATTCACTTTCGTCGAGTACTCGTCAAAACTGCCCGATTATGGTCCGCGGAATGCAAAACTACGACGCGTCGCTGCATTGTGCGAAATGAAGCTTAATTCCCATCAAAATACAGTTCGGAACGCTTCCATAGCCACCACAGTTACGGAGTCACGTAGTGGATTAAAGGGAGACGAACGGAGATAAAAGGATGCTGCGGGAGTCTATTGGGCGTGTAATTTGAAAACTTCCATGGCGCCTTGCGAAGTCGTGTGAACTCGGTCCGTACTGTAGTCAATGCGGTTGCAATCTTCTTATTTGCAATAGGTGCTAATTGTTACCAAACAAAATTCAATATGTTCTCTATAATATATTGATTTTGAGTTGAATTTTTTCTCTTTTATGGAAGGAGCATGTTCTGGATACCAGAAAACGTATTGTAGAAGCGAGGCAAAAGTGTCTGACTGAGGCATTGATTAATTTTAAAATTTACCAGCTGCTACATGCAAAAATATAGAACTGATTTTTAATGTTTTATTAATTTTTATACCTATTTTTGGATATCTATATTTCAATTTAGTATCCGTTTAAAAACTCACGTACCATATTTTTAAGTGCGGTAAAAATCAGTCACAGGTTTCGAATAACAATAAAATATTTGTAAAATCATAAAGATGTAATTGTTATTAGTAACACATTCTAGATACTAGATATATGTTTAAAAATCAGATGAATGAAAAGCGGAAACTTAATTTCTTTTATTTCCACCTTCATAGAGTTTCTTTGTGAACATAGTGAGCTGTTCCAATAAATGGTCTTCCAAACCATTCCTGGCTTCCACTCGACGGTTTCATTGTCCTAAATCGTATAATTCACTCTTTGCACATAATGTGACGTTGCCATGCGTTACGATTTTAGATTTGTACAATGTTGCTAATGGTCTCGTGGAAAATTACGCGTGCGCTGTTTTAATTGCGTCGGCGATTTTCGTAGTCCTGCTATTTTCGCAATCCGCGCCGTGGAACTTTATGACCTCGTGAAGTGGACGGAACCGCCTAGCTATTTCTGCTTACCAGTTCAGGTCCTAAACAGGAATGGTTCTTTTGTCTGTGCAACATATGTCGCCTGCATCTTCATCCAGACATTATCGTTCTTTCGTTGTCAGTTGTATTGGCTAGGTTTATTACGACCGGCTTAATAATAAACACGGAAGTCTAGAATCTGCGGATCATACAAATACTAGGCCCAATTGGGAACACACCGCCTCCACTGCCGATGCCAACTGTGCCACCGCGTCGCAACAAGCCAAATATTTAGATAATTTGCACTCGTCTTAAAGACCGACTTTAGTGCAATCAGTTATTTACCGTGACCTCGTATCTCGACCTAGATTATCAAGATTAAAATAGTTTTGGCCCCATCTTCTTGTATAGAATTATAACAACAAACTCTTATCATCACTCTGAAATTCAGATTCGATTAAAGATTAAGAACACTAATAAGTCGCGCTTTGATCACAATGCGAATTAATAAACGAAAACTGCTATTTGAGTATAGATTTTATTAAAGAGCGACGGGGAGGGTGGGACGAGAACCCCAAGTGTGGAAGACATTCAAGAAGAGAGCCTATTCCTACCTAAAGGGCCGGTAGCGCATTTGCGACTCCTCCGGTGTTGCGAGTGTCCATGGGCGGCGCTAAACTCTCACCATATGATGGCCCGCCTGCTTGTATGCCTCTTTTTCCATACAATTTTTTTTTAAAAACATTACATGCCTGTTATAACGTAGGCGTCCTCAAGGCAAGAGTGAATAGGCTTTGAATGAGCTAGCGCGCTTACCAAAGGCTGCATCACCACTTATTAGGTGGGATGGCATTCAAGCGGTGTGGTTTTACGGTGATAGGGCCACGCAGCAGCCTCGGCTGTTGCTCGAATGGGCAGACTCGTCCGGGTCAGTACCACGACCGCACAGAAGACCGGCGTAAAGTGGAAGTACGGCAATTACTTTCGCGTTTCGTCTGGTGAGTGAGGTAGCCGGAGCCCAACTTTCAAAAGATTGTCAACCCATCTGTAACCCTCGGGTGTAGCATACGTCCATGGGCGGCGTTATTCACTCAACATCAGGTGAACCATCTGCTCGTTTGGCAACTTTTTACATAAAATAAAGCGCTGGTGAGTTTAAAATAAAGAAAAAGATCAAACGCAGAGGGCTCGAGTGCGGCGCCCTCTGCGTTTCCGCATTAACTTGACCGACACGATTGGCTTGAGATGAAATATTCGCATGTGGACATCACGGCCGCGGCGAATCCGCGCAATGCGATTGCGGATCGCTCGTGACGGATTGCTTTTCGCAACACCGCACTTGTGCCGTGTCGCCGGTGAATCTCGCCTCTATTCCGTGAGCGATAAGGGCGGCATAAGCAGGACGGGCGACACGTGCGCGGCACACGTGGCCGGCCACGCACCGCTAATTGATTTTCTTACCCTTCCTATGGACGTTAGCGCGGTCCGAGCCGACTGTTTGCTGGTACTCGAGTGACCAAGTTCGAATCCACGCATTGGGTCCAACTGAATTGTTGTTGTGTATTTCAAAACACCTGCCTATTGAAGGTATATATCTACCGTAGGCGAATTCGCGAGTAAGAAATGTTTACGCCGAGCAAGTGATAAGTCAGCACTTAAAATTAACAATTTCATTTGTGCCGGCACCGGGGATCGAACTCAGGTTGCTCGAGTAAATTGAATTAAAGGCAAGCGCGCGGACACTGAGCTAGCACGCCTCTTACTATGCTCTAACACCCTCTTTACAGAGGTGGCCTTTGCCCAGCTGTGGGACATTTATAGGCTGTTACTTTACATTACTTTTTTTTATTTTGTTTATTAACTTCACCAACAAGATATACATCGAAACATGTTTAGAAATACGTATAACTACACGGTATCTTAAACTAAATTTAGCTTAATTTTAGGTGAAACTTCATTCAAAAGTGACCTCTGTAGCCGAAGCCTACGGTCTAGTAGTTGCACCACCGAGTATCATGTAAATTTATAGATATCCGATATATATGCGAAGGTCTGACACGCCTCGTGTCTGATATATACGACAAAATTTTATTCATGACAGGCGGCCGGCAAAAGGATTGCGTGTGTTTGCCTTCTTATGCATTGTTATTGGAAATTTTGGCGTATCGGGGGCACGGAGTGAGGGGGGAGAGGGGGGGGGGGGGGATCCCGGGATCAACGGGCGCGACACTCGTGTTGCCACGGTGCTGATGCGATTCCCGGAGACTTTCGTGTGACTGTTCGGTAAGTGTTACACCCACAGGTGTTGCAAATGTCGAGGGCCGCGATTATCGCTTAACACCAGATGAACCGTCAGCTCGCTTGCCACCGTCTCAGATTCTAGTGAAGTTTACATAAACTTCACTAGTCCTGTTTTCGATTACGAACTAAAACACTTTCTCTCTAACAGAGAAAAAAAATCTCGAGAAATTTCGGGAAATTTCCCGTCGACTGGCAACTCTAGCGTCCTTGGGACTCCTTTATGGGGGTGTGTAGCGCCACGAAAACGTATGGCGAGGGTGGCGAACTAACTCGTATACATTCAAATGTTCCTTTCGTGTTTTGTTTCCGTGATTTGCCCGATGCATTAAGCTTTTTTTCCTATATGGCGTTGGCAGTCAGCGGTAATATGGCGTTTTGGTAAGCAAAACTGCTAAGCTCGATAGATTATTTTAAATTTGACCTGAAATAGAAATATTTACCTACATTATTGTTCCTCTTGACAGTGACGTAACTGGAACAACTTTATTTTTAACTAGCTGTTAACCGCGGCTTCGCCCGCGTGGCCAAAGGAGATTAACAATGAGTTTTTATTATACACCAGAATATCTCACAGATGGCTGAATTTTTTCCTACTTACTTGACACATATCATTACCTATATTTTGAACAATTCACACAATATCTTTATAAATTATAACCTATGAGTTATTCTGATGTATAAGCTATATAATTGTACAGTTTCATTAAAATCTATTCAGTATTTTTTGCGTGAAAGACGTAACAAACATCCATCCATCCATACAAACGTTTGCCTTTATAATATTAGTAAGGATGTGAAAAGTTGCCGCTACATCCGGTGTTAATCGCCTATGGACATCTGCAACAACTGAGGGATGCGTTGAAAACCTTTGAAAAGTTGGCCCCGGTTACATTACTCACCAGACGAAACGTATAATACTTCCACCTCACGCTGGTCTTCTGTGAGGCCGTGGATAAGCCTGCCCATTCTTGCAACAGAAGGAGCTGCGTGGCCCTACCACAGTGAAAGGCTAAAGGATGGAAAGGCGCCAGAAACTCCTCGAAGGTGGCGGATTTCCATGCGAGGCGGCGGTCATAAAGTTTTCATAGGACAGTCTATTCTCCTTTGGGATGTTTTAAGAGTTTAAATACCTATTTGCCTCCAATCTACTCGTGGTATCTGGTCGTAAAACTGCAAGTAATTGTAGTAAAATAACGAATATTATTACAATTTTAAGGATGTTTGTTTTTATAAAAAACGGATCTAACGGATCAAAATCGGCACTCAATGGGATAGTATTCAACGCCCGTAAATAAAAATTACAACGCTGTACGGATCGGGTCCGTCCGGGTAAATACCACAGAAGACCGGCGTCAAGTAGAAGTGTCCCGGGGCCCACTTTATTATGGTAACGCATATGCAACTACACGGGTGTTGCCTAAAAGTCCACGGGCGGCGGTTATCACTTAACATCAGGTGAACCGCCAGTTAAAAAATACCTGAAACGGCTTTGCAACAGAGAAAAAATTTTTGTAGTGATGTTTTCCAAAATTGAAATACATTAAAAATAAAATTTTTGAATCAGTAAAGTTTGCCGACCAATTAGAAAGTCTTGTCCCAGCGTTGGAGAGTAAATAAAAGCGATCTCAGATAGATCGAGAGAGTGTCGCAAACGGCATAGCCGGAACAAAACTTCCACATATTACATGTCTTTGGCATCAGCTTACTTTGAATGGCTGCCAAAGCGTGTGCCAAACGTGCGTAGGCACTTTCGCTACATTTGCACAATCACTTCATACGTACAAGTATCTCGAACGCCTTATCCAGAGTCAAATATTATTGGCGGCAGATCCTATCTATTATTACAGTTTGCATATATTAAGTTTAGGCGTTAGTAAACGCTTGTGTGTTCTTTCTACTCAAGGATTGGTCCACCTGAAAGACCGTGCGCGCAGACGGTGGGATGAGACAGGTCGATAACGAGTTTCTTTCGCCGGTCCTTCTCAATCCATTGAGTTTTTCTTCTCCGAACTGATGATAGCGTTTTGACAATCAATAAGTAAGTGTAATGCTTCTATATTGAATAAAGATATTTGAATTTGAATTGAATCAGAACGGCCTATTCACTCTCGCCGTGAAGACGTAGGCACTCTTCAAGAGCGAGCAGACGCTTCTCGGTCGAGCGCCGCGACATAATCGAGGAGGCTGCGAAGTGACTAGATTTGGCGCTACACTCGGGTTATTGCTCTGGTCGATTTGATGGCCGTTTTTGTACATCGCTACGCAACGCGTCATTAGACTAGACGCGCCTTCCGAGCCTCGCTCCAGCTCTACTAAGACGTCACGTCCTTGTTTTTAACGGAGTCTTCAATATTTTTTTTTTTCTTTTTGAAGTTAGACTTCTTTTGGATCGTTTGGAAATATATGTGAGAGTAAAATTTTTATAATGGCTCGCACCCCGACAGCCAAAAAGCGACATGATGAAGTTCGTTTTGAACGTTCGTTCGTTTGAATCAGTAGTTGTTATTTGTGAACGCTTTACCCATTATGTTGTTCGTTTACCTCGTTGCTGATAGATGTTAAAGCTGCTTTATTACACGTATGTGAATATACAAAAAGACAAGCCAAATTCTATATATAGTTGGTTATTATGTGCACGCGTGCTAGGCCGGGTGCGGGGCCGACGACCCGCTAGAAAAAACACTCCATGACCGGCGAGGCGGACTTTTAAAGGGCCTTGAGCAATTGCGTCGCAACAATTAGATTCGGGCGTGAACGGCAGACTTGCATCCGAGTGATTCATCGCCTCGGCTGCTAAGATGTGTGTTTGTTTGTTTTTTTTTTTTTTTTTTAATTCATAACTGGCCAACACTTGACTGCCATTCCACCTAATGGTAAGTGGCGACACAGCCGTTGATGGTTAGCGCGCTAGCTCAGTAAACACCTATACACTTTTCCCTCAAGACGCCTACGTTGCAATCGGACGGAAAGACGGACGCCGGCTGGTTGTTCCATTCCTTAGCTGTACGGATGATAAATGACGAAGCGAATCGTTTTTAGAGGATCATCGCCGCTGGACTTTTATGATATCGGATTTGTTTTATTCACGATTATTTTTACGTGAAGCTAGAATTGAATTGAACTGAAAGTTAGTTAATAATTTCTTGTGTTTACGCGATTACCTAAACTGTGTGTACGGATTTATCGCGTTTATTTTTATTTTAATTCCCGACGTTTCGAACCCTGACAGACTGAATGCTAGTGTTTAGGCAACTACACCAGAAAGTCTCATGTATCTGGTCGGTACTGCCTTAGCTTTTAGATAAGCAATTGACGGGTTAATATGTCTGTCTGTCATAACAGTGTCTATGAACGCCTAATCTTTGCCCCCGCGAGGGCGGGTATGTGAAGGCGCTAACAAAAAAAATGTGTTGAAATTGTATTTCTGCGTTGCGTGTGGTGAGGTAACCGGGGCCCATTTTATTAGGAAGTGGGTGTTGCAAATGTCCACGGGCGGCTGTTATCACTTAACATGAGGTGAACCTCCAGCTGGACTGCCAACTTCTCACATAAAAAATGGCGTCGCACTTTCACCGAAAGGCTGTGGCATCGAAACCGTTTTCTGGCAACGGTTATTCGTTTATTGCATATGTAAATTAGGAGTCCGCTTTCGAGTGATTTGAGCTGATTCTCGGTTAAGTTATTGGCCACTCAATGTTACCTCACGTGTCGCTGTAATTGATTGTCCGTTACAGTTATTTTTTTGTTGTTCCCTTAATAATTTAAGAATGATAAACCCCGATACGTGATCCCGTAACCTTACGGGTCAACCGTGTTCCATCATCGTCATTTCAGCCTGTTTGAGTCCACTGCTGAGCATAGGCCTCCCCCATAATACATGAGGGGTTTTTGCCACAGTTGCCACGCCTGGCAAGCGGGTTGGCAACCGCAGTTCTTCCGAACACCTCGCACCTTTAACGCTGCCGCCCTTTATTGGGTATTTGCATCTAGCCAATTCGAAATAGAGTAAGGAGCCGTGAGATAGCCCATTGTCCGGGTGTCGCTCTTAATTCATTATACTAAAGCAACCCGAGTTCGATTACCGGTGCCGGCACCAATGAAATTGTTAATTTTAAGTGCTGACTGGTCAAGTGCTCAGGAAGGCAAGCACGGCGAAGATTACTGCATATTTTAGAAATAATAATAAAAAAAATATTTCGAAGAATATAATTT